CTAGTTTCGAGTCTTCTTCAATGCAGCGGGATGGTCATTTAGTAAACGATGGTGCTTCAGTATTTCCCTGCAATGGCCCTCACAAAGACTGAAGTTACTTATGCATCAGCGTGCAGCACTGCATGAGGTCTCACCTTTTATTAGGAAATGTGAGTGGATTAAATACACGATTAATGATTTTAATGAGGCCTTATGAAGCCGAGCTGGCAAGCATAATCACCGCACGACTCACATCCACTTCCAGCATATTTCTGTTAGTCAGCCATCAGGTCACTTCATTCATTCTGGTGTAATCATGATTAATAGCACTCCCCGGGGGCACTTTTTGGAAACACAAACCCTCTCTGGTGTTCGCTAAGTGTCCGGCTATAAATTGCTGAGAGGTCTCTTTTTTCTCCTTTTGCCCTCTCCTCTCGAACGAGTAGACGCGAGGAAGCCCCGCCGCTCAGACGGTGATGTCAGAGGCCGGGGGAACCAGCGGGCCCTCCCACGCTGCAATGTCGGAGCCTCCTGATTGACGCTCTGCGAGGGTTTCAACGATTGAATGTAATCTCCCTAATGCCTGGGGATGAGCGACGAAAAGCGCGTGCTCCTTGACATTTTACATGCTTCCTTAACTGATGACCTGTCCCCAAATGTTAGCGCGACCTCCTGCTCAGTCACTCGTCCCATCGGTTTTAAAAGCAGATAGTACAGCGTGTGCCACCTGCTTCCCAGCCACGCTTCCTCCACTCCAACCTGCCACTCCAGCCCAGGTGGTTAAACACAGCACCAGCCCCCCCCCCCCATCCTCCCTAATGTAAAAACCACAAAGTGACACCAGCTCCACCACTTGAACTTGCATTTAATCAGGTGGCGAGCCGGCTGTGTGGTGGCGAGCCGCTGATTAGATTTGGAGATTGAGAGGCATTACAGGAGGCAGCGGTTGGATAATGACTTAAGTGCTGTTTCGCCTTCCTTTCTCTTCAGGAAGTGATTCGTCTTGATGGGCCAGACCTTTAACTGACCGGGAGGTTTCCGACGGCACGCGGTGCCTTTTCGTAGATCCGACCGCTGCGGCTCGGACCCCGTCAACACTCACTGCACTCCCCACGGGGAGCCATCTTGTACACGGAGAACTAGATGACAGCATAATACTGATTATATTCACGGCTAATTGCAGCCAATGTGATTGAGCGAGACGTCGAATGATTGATACATCAGTCGAAGAAGTGAAGAAAAATGTTGTTTTTATGTGTAGTCGATTCTATCTCACTGGTACGTTGTGTATCTTCAGGCTATTAACAGCTGGACATTTTTCTCTCTGGATTTGACGTTTGGAGGCTTAAATAATTTTTTCTATTTTAACATTGAGATACAAATTCTCTTTTCAAAGGGAGTCTTTTCCAAGACGGTAGCAAAAAATTAAATTAGATAAAATAATAGTTACAGCCTTTTTGGTAAAAAAAAAGCTTAAACTATCAATGAAATGTAATCGTTTTAATCAATTTGAACAGAAACCCACAAACTAAACATTGTTAAATCAATGTGTTAATACAGTTGACTATCTATTACAGGCAGCAAGCAGCTATTATCTAAGATTCTTCCATCTACTGTCTCCCCTAACAAGAAGAAAAAAAACGATTTTACATTAGACGGGTCATTTGAAATGGATCAAATTCACAGCGTAGTGCCTTTTGCACTTGTTCATTCAGAGACCAATTCATTTGCTAAAACCTTGTCCTTAAAATGTCCTTCATCTGGCTGTAACAAGTTCCATTTATCTGTGGGCGTCACTTCAGCTATCGAACCCATAGGTTTCAAAATGTTGTTTCTTTTTCTTAAACCACAAACACGCTCATTAGCTTGCTTTGAAATCATTCGCTTTACGAGTTATCGAAAGTGAAACGACGCGTATCCACTGGGGATTCAGTATAATAGGGTTTGCTCTCATTTGTTTTGTGTAGGAGGACGGATCCACAACGGCGGACGTCAGCTGAGAGACACAGTCGTGCATCTTCTGCAAACACAACCTGCACTGCGGCTTTATTGCATGAAAGGAGTATTGAACCTTACTACTCCTTTTAAAAAGGAGTGTCCCATCCTTAAGCAATATATGTAAGACTATTTTAATGTCCTAGTTAATCTACGTGGAGACACTTTTAATGGGTGGATTTGTAGAGTAGTACTGCATTATATTTTAAGCATAATGTTTTTTTATGGTGTGAAAAATAAGCTATAATATTTCCTCCTGACATAATAGTAGTTAAGGGAAATCATTGGTTTGGCATGAAAGTATGTATGTCAAAATTGTAGTTCAGTTTAGTACATGTGTGGCAGAGCTCCTGATTTTAGTTTATCAGGAAGAATCCAGAGAACCAGAGCCAAATCATTATGCAGACTGTTTTAAAAAAAAATAATCCTCTTTTTTCCACGACATTTTTCCACTCTCGACGTTTTTAAAAACATTTTCTTTATTATTTGATCCTTGATTACTTTTCTTTTCTCAAAATATTTTCGACCTAATATTTTTTTTCTTTTTTCCCTGATATTTTTTGACCTCGCATATTTTGACTTTTTTCAAAAAAGAATTTCAATGACATTTTTCGACGTAATATTTTTTCACTTTTTCCAATCTGCAATCTGCACCATTGACCACTCACAGACTTCGTGGCGTGAGGGTTTAATTCTGTCCCATCAGTTAAGTCCCTGAGGGTTCAAGGTCTTATGCGGATGTATCGCCAGTAATAACTCACGGGTGGGCAGGTTGGTCTCGGCTTGGGAACACCCGGCTTCAAAGGTTACCGTATCGACTCCACGCTCAAATGTTTCTTCAGAAACTGAGAGAAAACTTCTTTGGAGGTTTGCCAGCTTGTGCAGCTCCCTGGGGAGAAGATGACCCAAACCCCCTTTGAGGAAAACATGAGCACATACGTCCCTGAGCATAGACCTACAGAATGGAGACCCAGACGCGGGAACACAATGTACAGACCCACGGACACACACAGGAGACGTGCTCAAAGGCGATACACACTGTCTGGTGTTAACTGAGGCATCAAGAAAGATTATTTCTCTAACCATGAAACATCCGCACCACGCACAGTTTGTCCAATTGATTTTAAAAGTGTTGTTCCAACAATCACCGATAGCAGATTATGCTGCACACCTTCAGTTGAAGTTAAAAGTTAACCAAATTTACACTTGATAGTTGTATTCCCTTTTGTTTTTTAGAAGCCTTAAGAAAGTTCCTAATAAATGAGACCAATGGGTCTGCCTATATGAGACGTAAGAAGATGACTATACGTTGTTAGGGTAGTAAGTCGGTAAATACACAAGTCGGTTAGTCACGAGGGAATAGTGGTTTAACATGTGTTAATCAATAAATCAAGTGAGAAGTAGTCATTTTCTATTAGACTTTCATATAACCAGCGCTAAATAAATAAAATGTGTTATTATTATTATTAATGGGGTGTTTCTAATGGTGTGAAGTCACTCTGGCAGCATGGACAAAATCAAGCGGCCCTTGATTCGGATAAGGAAAAACGTGGAAAAAATGACAACGCCCAAGAAGATCAACCGAGCAGGAACTCCTCTCCCTGGATGGACGGACGTACTGTTTGAAAAGAACACGGCAACATAGTAAAAGTATTGACACTCAAGACTTATTCATAGTCTGCCATGAGTCATTGGTGCAGCGCAGGAAACAGGGAGTAATTGAAATGAAGTGGTCTCCTGGTACAATATGTCCGACGCTATGCAATAAGTTGGATGCACGTTGGACGTGCAGGTAGAAAGTATGTGTGGGTCCGTGGATGTGGCTCCAGACCCGGCAGCTGTCTCTTCAGCAGTGATTTAGTGTCTGACATGGCTGAGCCTTGTGGCTCAATAGCACTAAAAGGCTCATCCCGTCTAATGGGGTTCCTCTATGACGCAGACGAGGAGAGGCAACCCCTCCCCTTCTTTCATGTAATCCAGAACACACACTGACGCACACACCTACTGTACGGCCGTTCACTTTAGTCCAGCGTGCAGAGATCGTGAGAGCACTCAGACACAGACAAACACACACACACACACACACACACACACACACGCATACACACGCGTGCTGCCCTGCACTCTAATGAAAAGGAAGGGAATTGAGATGTTGCTGCACGACAAACAGATGTGTAATTGGTTTTGAGATACGGCTCTTGTCGGAGGCTGTCATCGATTGGTGTTTGCCGAGGACAACTCGTTTACTCAGTGTGTGGGAGTGGGCAGTGATCATTACTGGGACCCAGTGTGGTATCGCTTTATTAACTCAATGTGGTTTGATGCTTCGTCGTAGGAGGGGAAGGAGGTTGTCATACTCACGGAAGCTGCTGAGACACGGGTCAATCGCGCTGACACACAACATAAGTTAGAGAGGACGAAAGTTGCAACAAAGCCTCGTAGTTTGAAAGTAGGAGATGATGCTTTGAGTTTGTTGTGTGTCCCTACTGAGCTGAAGAACACAGTGGGTGTGCAGCTGGAGTTGGTGCTCTCCAAACGGCGTTATGAATGAAGAGGCCACGAGTGCGTCACTGTGTAGTGTACGTCCCTCCCCCAGCAGATGGCCCCGCCTGCAAGTGCTTAGCTGGGGGGGCGGGGGGGCGCAGGGGGGGGGGTTATTGATTTGGCATTTGAGCTATAGCGTGCAATGTAACATTTTTGGAAGGTTCTTAAAATATTTATTGCCAGTGGTGCTTCTCCACGGACACCCCAGCTTTCTTTGCCTCCTATTTAATTAATGACATCAATGCAAATTGGGGATAGCGAATGGTCCAAACGATTGAAGGGTTTTGTGAATGGAGCACTTACTGACTGGGGAATGACGTCAGCGCAAAGCCGTATCCCTTATTCGTGAGCCAGGATTGGTGGGAAGCGTCCCATTGGCCCGCCGTGCCATCAGAGCGACCCCATTGGCTGGCGGCGGATAATTAAACACCTACACAGTCGATGCACAAATCCAAGTGGTGGGATATATAGGCTGCTGCGTTTGGGCTGCATGCAACAGAATCAAGAGTTGTTCTGCAAGTTGAGAGAAAGTCAACTTATTGTGTTTTTCATAGCGATACATAGTGATATATATTTATTTATTTTTTTGCCGGGTGATTACCACTGAAGGTAAGTGTTGACTTGTAATGTTGGGGCAACAAAATGTACTTGATGAGCTGTTTGTGTTTGTGTGTGGCGATGAGAGGGGAGACGGACACAGACCCGTTGGCCCCCCGTGACGTGGGGGGTCCGGTAATAGAATTGGAGCGTGCTCACGGGGTGTCCCCGGGCTGCAGCCCCCCCCTTTTCGCAAAAGGGGTCAGGTCTCCTCCTTGAAGGCCGGAGCCCGAAACCGGGAGAGAAATGGGGGGAAAGCCAATAACGGAAGGGCCCAAAGTAAAGGACCGCCAAGTGAAGGGGTAAAGAAGAGAGGGCCGGGAGGACCAAGGTTTCTGTCTGTGTGTGTGTGTGTGTGTGTTTGAGAAAGAGGAAGTGTGTGAGAGAAAGTGTGTGTGTGTGTGAGAGAGAGAGGACTGGAGCCTCATTACACTAATGCACTGGTCCCTTAGGGAGTTGGCAGGCTGGGATCCCCCCCCCCCCCGCCCCAGCACCTACCCCTCTCTTCTCTTTTCACCCCTCCTCTTCCAGCACTAGCCAGTGCTCCATGTCCTGCACAGACGAGGGCCCCCAGCTAACCCCCCCCCCGCAGGGTGTCACTCTCCAGGATGGGCAGCGTAGGACTTGAGAGAACTACTTGTCCTGAGCTCTGGGCTGGATGCTTTGGAGGAACACAGTGTGTTCTGCAGAAGAAGAGTAGGCTGAGGAGAGGGGGGGTGGGGGTGGTATGTGGCTGATATTTGAAGGGGTGTTGTGTGGAAGTAAGAGCGAGGACCTGCAGCCGGAGACAGACAAATTTCGAGAAGCCGAGATGCGGAAAGGGTGGAGCTTTTTCGTGTTGCACCTGCTTCCCACCAGAGGGTCGGCAGGTGTATTTTCTAGTGGTTGATTTTCAGGTGACCTGCAAACTGGCAGCAGTGGGAGCTGATGGTTCTGGTGTGTGTGTGTGTGTGTGTGTGTGTGTGGGGGCTGTCTTTCTTGCAGTGTAGGGGACCATGGTGATGTTGAAGATCTCTGCTTTCCTCGTTGCCTACGCCCTGGTCATTTGCCAGATGTACTGCTCACAAGCCGCGCCTGCCAGGTGAGACGCTCAACATTCGCACACACTTTGCACACTCTCAGCCGAAGTATGTGGGGGGAAAGTAGAAAAGGTTCCACATTTCTGTAATCACAAGCAATCAGTGGGAAGGGTTAAAAGCTTTAAAAAAATGTTGTCTGTCTTTAAAACATTTAAGTGCTTTAAAAATATGAAGAAATGGGATAGATGAAGGTAAAAAGATACAAACAAAGAAAATGTAATGTGATAATGTGAATGCACACTAACTTAGAATATCCCTATTCCGGATATTTATAATAATTTATAACTGGTGCATTTTGGGACATGGCATGAGCAGGATTAAATATGGACCGTAGTTGAGTTATTGTGTCGGCAAAATGTAAGAGATCTCTTTAACCACATAATTCTATGAGAATTTTGTTTCCAATCCATATTTAAAGTATCGCAACTGCAAAATGTTCGATAAAAAAGTCTTCCTCTTCAGGTTTGAGATAAATGTATATAGATGTACCTATTTAAACGAAACCCCACTCGAGCCCCTCCCCACATTGTTCCCATGAAGCCATCGATTTAGTAATAAATCTAATGCTGGTTGCACATCAGTCCCTCCCTCAGATGGGGCACTTTCCGCAGATTGTTTCCCCGCCTTGGCCGAGGGCCCTCCAACTCACGTCATCTCTTTTAGAGTTGGTGACGTCCAAACCCCCCCCCCCCCGCCCCACCCCACCCCGCGCCTCCCTCAGCCCAACCTGACCCTTCCTATCCATCCAGCCCCTCCACCGCCGCCCTGCCCCGCCCTAACACCCCCCCCACTGACAGCCACTCCCTTTAACTGCAGGTGATAATTCCTGCAAAAGATGTAATGGCTTAATCTCACTGCCTTTCCTTTCTCCACCCCCCCCCCCCTCCTCCTCTCCTCTCCACAACCCCACTCACTGCTTTTTCGCCTCAGACCGGTTTTGGAGTCCATGTCAGACCGAGTCACGCTCACGGACTACGAGGCGCGAAGGTTACTCAACGCCATCGTCAAGGAGTTTGTGCAGATGACGGCGGAGGAGCTGGAGCAGCAGGCGACCGAAGGAAACAGGTACGCAGACGACGAACGAGCCTCTCTGTCACTCGACGCCGTCAGAAAATCCGTATACACGTTTCCTCCCTGCTACTGAAAGGCTTGACTTAATGGAGAGTGATCATCTATTCTGGTTTCACTGTAACACCACTGAAGATGCGTCTTTTTAGCGGCCCACGTGGGTTGAATCAGGCGTAGAGGTATGTACCAGGAGACAAACCCCCCCCCCAAACTACTCCTAGACAAACGCACAAAAAAGAAAACCCCTTATTCTCTGTCATCGCCCAGCTCCTGCATGGATGAGTTTGATTTGAGTTTGTTTGAGCGTACGAGTATTTCCAGCCTGCCCGCCGGGCATGTGAACAGTGTCTGCCTAACGGAACGGATAAGTGTGCACGGTGTCAATTAAGTGGAGTTGCATGACAGTGGGGAGCGACTGGTTTCTGTTTGTTCTGTGGGTGTAAAAGATGTGACACGAGGGGAGTGACTTGGGTACGGGGGTGGGGGAGTGGGGGATGGAGGTTTTGGCGCATGAGGGGATAGATGATGGTGTAGAAGGGTGGGGAGCATGATGCTACGGGGAGGTGGATGCCTTTTATTTCTACTTATACCTGCAATGGCATGAAGAAAGAAATGCACGTGTGCGTAGTTGGAAGGAAAAGACAGACATGATGAAGAAAGTGTTGCCCGCATGTTTCTTTTGCCATGCCCATGAGCCTGTTTCTCTCTGCATGTGTTCTTGTGTGTGTGTCCTCCCCCCCCCCCCCCCCCCCCCTCCCTCCCTCCTCCTCCCCCGACAGCATGGACAGGCCCATAACCAAGCGGTGCTCCAACCTCAGCACCTGTGTGCTGGGCAAACTGTCTCAGGAGCTGCACAAGTTGCAGACGTTCCCCCGCACGAACGTGGGAGCCGGAACGCCCGGCAAGAAGCGCAGTGCGCCTGAGAGCGACAGCTATGCAAGCTACGGCGAGACGTTTGACAGCATCTAAGCCCTTCCTCTTCTACCTTTACTGCATCTCTTCCTCCTCATCCTCCTCACCCCATCCCCAGTTTCTTCCTTATTGTTTTTCGGATTGACAAGTGCATGTCGACTTTACCTGCTTGATTGACATGAAAAGAATTTGACCTTTAACGGCAACCAAATCTTTAAGTTCTTAACTCCTCCCTCCTTTTTTTTTTTTTTTTTTGGCAGAGAATAATTCGTCCCAAATGAATTCCAGACAATCAGACCTTTTTTATGTTATTCAGAGCCAGTTCAGACATCTACCTGTGTGTGCTGTGCGTGGAGTCAATTGATGACATTTCAAAGCCCCTGAAACTCAACAGTTGGGAGAGATCACTTAATCCAAGCGATTAATAAATGATCCACTCATGCGACACCATGTTTCTTGTTCAATAAACGTATTTTTCTACCAGGAAGCCTGAGCTCATTTTCATTCTTAGGGCTACTTTATTAACCTGAGTGAATGTTGGTAAATATCGACCTAAATAAGATTTTAAAGCGCCCTTGAAATTATCTCTCGTCGAATCTGAAGGTAAGAAAAATGTCAAATTACGCGATTACATTTTTTACATGTACGTCCTGTCTTTTTTCCAGTGCTGTGACTTTGATAAAAAAAAAAAAAGAGCTGTGCGCAGATATACTGTGTGTGCAGCCTCTCTGTGTTGGTGTGGTGCTGATGGAGGATGGCGTTAACCCCTCGTTTGCTCTCCTGAAGCAGCGTTACAGCACAGAAGCGAGCGTGCAACACGGCGACCTGCGTGACCCACCGCCTGGCTGACTTCCTGAGCCGGTCGGGGGGAATGGGCAACAGCAACTTTGTCCCCACCAACGTTGGCGCCAAGGCCTTTGGCAGGCGGAGGAGAAGCATCCAGATGTGAGCTCCTCCAAAACCTTCAGGGACACGGTAAATAAAATTTATTCTTCTTCTGGTTTATTCCTTTTTCTTCTTTGATTTGTTTTTTTGATATGAAATTTTTGGGCAAAAAGTTGCAATGAAAGTGTTTACTACCAAATAAATTGGAAGAGAATTATTCAAATGAAGGTGATAACCCATGTATTGATTTTTGACAATTTATATGTAATTTATCGCAAATGGATTTGGATCATTTTGGACTCATCCAGTAATGATTTGTTTTTATCCTTTAAAACGCCTCAAATTTACATCTAATTCCCCTCTTTTTTCCCTTTCTTTCAGAGGTTGAAACCCGACAAGAAAAAAACTGAGAACAAAAATCAACTAAAACAAAATCAAGCAGAAAATAAACTCTGAACTGGCCCTTTATCCACGCCCTCACGTTCTTACGGGAAAAGAGGACTTCTCGTCCCCACTTCCATCCTGTTAGTGAAACATTTTGCTTTTGGCAAATAAGAGAAAAAAAAAAAAAAAGCACTTTAGTTTATGTACATGAACAAATCAACAACAACAAAAACATCCTAATGGTTCCTCTTTTTTATACATGAGTATGATTGTAAAATAAAATGAAAGCTGCAGTGGTTATCATCTTTTTTCTTTTCCACCTTTCACATCGTTAGAGCACATTTCTTCTAGTCCCCATTTTGAGATCCATATTATATACACATCCGCCATAATTCCCTCCCCCCATATGTGCCAGTGGGATGCCATTATAGATCAGCCTACCACCCCCCTTCCAAAACCCCCTACGACGGCTGTTGTCTTGTGCCTTGATGTAGAACAATTTACACGAACATGATTGTACAGTTCTGTTTCGAGATGATAATGAAGAGCCGAGCGAGGACGGAAGAGAACGAAGACAGATTAATATTGTGAACAATATTGTGAAAAAAAAAACAAATTTCAGCAAGATTAAAATGTATTTTAGATACACTCGGGTTTGGGGTACTTGTGTTGTTCTTCAAAGGTTTTTAAGCATTCAGGAGTAGAGAAGAGGTTGAAGGATGATCAGCTTATATTTGTACATCAATTGTACTGCAATATTGATTAACCATGTCTATACATTTGAAATGATTTGTGAACCTCACATAGATATCAATTTATTTTCCAGAAACATAAACACGCTTTTCAGCATACAACTTTTGGCAAACGATACCAAAAGACACTGAATTCCACACTCATATTTTGGACAGTTTGGGTCATTTTTATGCAGCGACAGTCACACACACGTTTTTTTGGGAGTATTTTATGACTGACACAGCGGCATGGATATGTTGAAATACATGATGATACAATACAATAAAGTAAACTGCATGGGTCATTGCTAAATAAAAGGCAGCCAAACCTGCAATCAGACTTGTTCTTCTTTAGCCCCGTTGCAGGTAAGCGCAACACCTTCATTCTTCTGACTCAAGTCAGAAACGAGTCTGCACCGGCCTCCTGGTCCTCTTGGTGTGTTTATTCACACTCAAGATATTCTAAAGGAAAGTGGGAGTGGCCAATATCTGGCTTAATAAAAATGGCACATTGTGGTGTTGGGATGAGCTCCTCTCTCCATCGAGTTGTGACCAGGATGAAAGAAAGGAACCATCATGGAAATGAGTCCTGGCCTTTGTGGTGTTAGCCCCTGAAGATGTGGTACCGTATTTCAAATTCTGACAGACAAAATTGAAGATTAATCATTCTGCTGCAGCTGAAACACAAAATATCTTGGTTTTAGCAAAAATGACAAAAATCCTTGATTGGGAAATTGTTTTTTCTTTAATTACTTTTAGATTATTTAGATTAAAGGTCACTGAAAAAATTACAAATCAAAAACAAGAAAAGTCATTGATAACATGAGCCTGATTCTTGAGGGATTTAAAAAATGAATTGCATATAAATCACACCAATGTTTCTCTTTAGATGGTTTTCTTGTTACCATAAGACACTCAAAGGTTGATGTAGCAGCACACACACATTTTTACAAATCCATAATATCAGTTTTAGGGTCTATTTCACAAACAACTACATCAACGGTCTGTATTTCAGGTACAGTGCTTGAAGAAAAAACAAAATCCTTCACAAAGAGCATAAAAAGTACTTAACAAGAAGGATAAATACAGCTTTTTTTTTGGGGGGGGGGAGAAACACGCGATGTAAGTTTGGGAACTGAGGGAATAATGAGCTAATTCAAAAAGGGTGAAATTGAAAAGCAGGATGCAGTCGATCCTGTTTGGTCGCACGGATGAATGCCGAGTGGCCACCGGAGCAAAGAGACGGCATTTTGTCACAGCGCGCACAAGGGAACCAGGGTCTTTGTAAAACATCTCATTTTGTTCAGATGAAATACACCATCAACACCATCATCAAATGATGGTGTTGCAAAGCCAAGCGGATGACTTATTTATTCTCAGATGAGGAGAAATGTGAGACCTTATGCTCTGGGATATTAAAACCCTCATCTGCCAGTTGGTTTTCGCAGTCTTTTCCACTCATCTACGATGTCTCTGTCTGTCTGGAGTACCGCTGGAATCCAAATGGAAACTTTTCCTGCAATAACCCCCCCCCCCCCCCCCCCACCTCTCTCTCTCTTGTGATAATTTAGGGGGACGAGAGGCTGAGGGCTGTTTTGTGGGTCGGTTTGATTTAAGGCTTCTTTTTCAGCAGTAATCCAACAATCCCACCGTGCCAATGTGAAAAGCAGGCCTGATGGCACACAGCTGCTTTGAATGGGGCCCATCCAGTTGAAAATTAGATGGTTCGTAATAGAAAAAACAAGAAACAAGCCCCCCCATCTCCAAAGGGAAGACGTGTCGCTCGTCCAGTTCCCAGAAACTTGCACCACAAATGGATTTCAAAACCAGAGGCTTTGGTTAGATGCTACTTTTTAATGTTTAAATGACCGAGTTCCACATTATGGGAAACAGAAAGCACGAGTCATGTAAGTCATGTATTATTTCCACACTGGCTCGCGCCCCACTTGCTTCTTTAAATCAATGCAATATCTCATTGAGTCTTTAAGGGTACAAGACGCCAGGGTTTAGTGTTCACTTTTTACAAGGTAAAGATAAAGCGGAATAGGAAGACACTCTCACTCTGTGCTTCTCCAAATTTGGACCTGAATGGGAAATTAGCTGTTTATATTCTACTCAAAGGAATTGTTACCGACTCTACATAGTGTAACAGGCCCCTATGTGCGCATAGGAGGGCGTGTGGAGCCGCCCCCTTTAAATAATCCCCTGATAATTACTCACTCAAGAGCACGGAGCGATGTTGACTGCAGCAACACGGACCACCTGAGCCACGCTCATAATGGGAACCAGCCGAACGCCGTTTATGTTTTCATTTTCCTCGCTGATTTTTAAAGCTTACAATTTTTCCATAAGGTAGTCGTTTCCAAGGCCGACTTGAAACCAGACGCCCCGACTCTCAGATGGTAAAGGTCCAGAAACAACATCAGGCCGGCCCAACATCCTCTCACCTTCCCCGATCCCCCTTTTCCGTCCCGTACGACTGCTGCTGGGAAGGTAAACACCTTTCCACCGTTGCAGAAATGGGATTTCACTCTGCTGCCATTGCAGTTCCTTCATCTCCCCTTTATTTCTCTCCCTCCCTTCCTTGGTTCTTCGTCTCCCCTCCCTTCCTTTGGTGCCACATCTGGAAGCCAGCTCCTCATTTATTCATGTGGTCTGGGTTGCTCCCTTTTTTTCAGTCTTATTTAAACGTCCTTTACCTTGTCTTGTTGGCAGTTTCTCTCCATCTGAGGAGGTCTACAATTACATCTCGCCATAACTGGTCACTCTGCAATTACATGGCCTACCACAGAATACCCCCCCCCCCCCTCCTCTGAGCAGCACCACTGCTCATATGGTAGACCAAAATAGAATAGTTCTGTGTCTGTTTGGATGGTGTCCCAGCTGTAACTATGCTTCGCTGCTTGACTGACAGAGGGATGTGGGCCCCCCGCCCCCCAAGAAAAACCCTTTAAGGCCAGTCACATTTAGACTGCGAGCAGTCCCACTCCAGCAGGCTTTGGTGGTGGTTGTCCCAGCTGGGCTCCCAAAGACGAGAAACAGAGCGAGACAAAGTTAGAGCGAGTGTAGGAGAGGACGCGGACGGACGGCTCTGCAGTGAAAAAGACAAGAACTTTGAGCTGCTACTATGAGCCCTCCGGGGAACACTTAAACTAGACCGGGTAAGTTTGACGACCGGTCTAATCTCAACTTTGGAGTGATGCTGAACTTTAAGGTTGGAAGATAAGTTGTGTAGATGTAGAAACGTCCTCAGGAGCAGTTGCTCACTCGGCTGACAGGTGTTGAAAGAGAGGACTTTCCTATCGGCGGTGCGGTTGTTAATGTGCAAGGTGCCTGTAGCACTGAGTCCATAACAAAGTGTTTTAACTGTTAAAGTTGGTTAAAGTTATAAAATAAATCATTGTTAATGTTGAACATATCAATGTGACAATGTAAGAAGGGTAATAAAAAAAAGAATAGCGGTACTAAACCTGCTAACATAACATTACGTCACAAGCCTGATGTCAATGTTAACGTTTGGTTTCACACGGGACACGGGCATAGGTCTCCTCAGTGAAAGTCCTGTGCGTGTTTGAGGTTTCCCTTCCCTTCGTCATCTCAGAACTCAGTGTTACACCAGGCCACTGCAAGCTCTGCAATGGCAGTTAGACATTTGCTTCGAGCGAAAGCAAAAACGGTCACAATCATCTCATTCGTGGTTGGCAACAAAACTCAATTCCAACATTTTTTCCTTTCATTTGTGGGCGCTTTTCTGTGGTAACTTTGACTTGCCAATCGGTGCCATCCCGATAAATATGAATGTCGCTCAGGGATACCGGCAAAAAATACTTTGCGTTTTTGTTCTGAGTCACGCTGCAGCTAAACCATGTGTGGCTATGAGTGTTGTGTGTGTGGCCACGACTGTGGGAAACAACAGAGATTACAGCGAGGCTGACGGTGATGATGATAAGGACACGGCTACCATATGTCCTTGCAGGTGTGTGTGTGTGTGTGTGTGTGTGTGTGTGTGTGTGTGTTGGCCTGGAGAAACCTCACTGGTGACATCACATCTCTGAATAGAAACATGAACCTAACAGCAAATGTGTTACAAGGACCAGAAGTCTTCCTGTTTTTTGTCACCATGTAATTCATGTTGTCAGGAAGAAATTGCACGGCGCACACACAAAGTATTTAGTTGTTGAGTTTTTTTAACTTCTTCCTGTTCCTGTTTCGTTGGGTGTTATTAGTCGGACTGCACTAACAATTAGGATCTCCACTGCTTCTACAGTCATTTATTATGACATGATTGCTGCTTCACTCACAACAGAAATGCTAGCTTAGCATCAGTCTAACATTTCTGGACATTTCAAACTGATTTGAGGGGCTCCCTGCCAACGTCTGTTCAGCACTTCTACCCAGTAACACAGAACCGTTTGGGGGAAAACGGAGAGGCCGCCTGGTGATCCGCTGAGGAGGGCGTAGCGTGGTCAACGGGAACCACACACTCAGGTGTGGCCCCCACACGGGGAGAATCTCAGGGTTCATGTGTGTGATATTCTCGTCCCTGCTCAGCCTCAGCCCCACAGTCATTGTCTGAGACATGAAGAGAGCGGCTCACCGAGGGTGGGACTGAACTTTGTGACCACGGCTAAAGTTGGAAACACAAACCTGCACTTGGAGCCTGATTTCAAAGGAGCCATTGGCAACGCTTTGTGTGTCCAAACTAGCAAGCTTGTACTAAACTGTGTTCATGCTCAACATGAAGACTTATTTTACTCATCAAAGACTAAAGTCACACCCTGTATAGTCGCTCTTGTAAAAACAGTTAACGTGTATCAACAGTTATGGACTTACATCCCATAAGTGTAACTGGAACCTACCAAACGTCTTCCATTCTCAATTCGTAGCCTCTTCTTTTTAGATGAGGTAGTTTCTTTATTTGTGTCTTGCTATTTTTCCATCTGTCCTCTGCGTGTCTCTGTGGCCTGTTTGGAATCAGGTCTGGGTCATTTCGACTCCCCTCCCACTAGTCTGGTGTTCCCCACATGCTACTTCTCAACAGCCCGGCCAGTCCTCCATCCAGATGACCACTGATGGCGTTTTCTTCAGTGAAAACAAATACGTTATACTTCTTTTCACAATTTTGCCTGTATTTGAAATGTATCTGTACTATTGAGCAAGCGATAACATGGACTTCTTTTTGCAATCAGAGGAGTCTCTCTGTGATGCACTTTGACACCACATCACTTTTTAGACCCAGGGATTAACGGCTGGCTGGTACCTTTGAGTTGCTAACTTCTAACCTCCAGGGAGCGCAGAAAATATCTTCCTCTGCATGGAGGCAACTGCCTCACTTTTATTAATCAAAGAGGCAGTTATTATGGCTTCAAAACAGCTTATGTCAGCAAAACCTACTGCTGTTTATTCAAACATTCATTCGTCCAAGTAATAAAATCTGATAATAATACCATTTTGAACAGAAATGAATCAGAAAACCTTTGTGCCAAGTATGGAGATTGTAAACAGGCTGTAAGTCAAACCTCCTTCCCTGATGTACACTTTGAATACTGCTGGAACGCGGTTTACATGTTTACGTGTGTACACGTCTGACGCCGCTTTATTGCGAGTGACAGTGGCAGTTTCGCTTCCCTTCGATGGCGTTAATGACTCAGTGGAGGCTCCCTTCAAAGCGGCTACTCAATTAGGAGAGTGCAGGTATAAATTTTTGTGTAGGTGGGCCCAATATGGCAGCTACTCTGGGACCCGAGACTGGGAGATGAATCAATATCAGGCTGGTTGAGTTAGAACGTCGCTCTTGTTGACCTCTTTTTCCTTTCTCTCTTCTTTTCCTCCTATCGCCATCTGCTAATTGGCGGGGAGGTCACGTCTTTCTGGGCTTCGGTCTGTTTATCTGCCTCTCCTGTGATTGACATCTACCGTATTGGCTCTTGGGCCCTTGTTACGGTTCATTGGGGAGATCATGAGAGGAAACGGAGGCATTGGTACTTCTGTGCTTGTGTTTTCTGTATGATTCACAGAAGATAGAAGGGTCACCACTCGCTCCTCCTTGCGAAGAAGTCCTGAGAGAGAGAGAGAGAGAGAGAGGGAGAGTCTTACGACTGTTGTCTCTCAGGGTTTAACTCCAGGCCTCACTAAGACATTCAGTATCCACCCAGAAACGGTTTCATACCAAAGCAATTGCAACTCGGAAGAGAGGTTTGAAAATGTGAAACCAACGTTCGATTAATCAGATTTTAATCTGTCATTATGAAAATGAAAAATAGAGAAACAAAGCGCTATTTCTATGGGTCGTTACGTTGATCTTTCAGTCTAAAACCAGAAAGTTATTTCATTTACAATAATCCTTCTATTTCAGAACCTGAGAAAAGAAAACCTGACATTTTAAATAGTCCAGCTGCATATTAGCTTTATTTGTTATATATCGGTCCGTTGTTTGGCCTAACTCAATGAAAGTGAAATGGTTCGTAAGACCATGGTTCAATTACAACAATAATTTTGACAAAGTGGGTATTTGTAAATGATACACATCTCCGGAAATTACACTTGGGGTTTGTATCTCAGAATACTCTGTATATCTCAAATGAGACATGGCAGACTGTTTTCCAGACCCAACTTATCAGAAAAGTGTTTACTTTTCATGTCCAAGTGGAAAAAAAGACCCAAAATGGCATTTTTGAACTCCCAAGTGTGGGCACATATGGAGCTTTTTCATGCATACCTTGCGATTTTTGCAGCCGATATTTACTTATCACATTGACCCCACTTGTGCCCTCTTTTCCCCGCATGTGCCTTTGGTTCAGCAGTGGAATAACAGAAAACGCCTTGAAGAACTCCGCCCTGCCCTGAAGTGGTGGCAGATTCCTCGTCTCAGATCTGGGCATTGGATCCATCCTCCACCCCGGATTGTTACTCTTCCCTTCCACCCTAAACGCACACACACACACACACACACACACACATATGGACCCAGCCCACCTAATTTACTCCCACCTTCTAACGCAAAACAGCTGTAGAGTCGACTTGCGAGCAACTGCTGCTATTACGTCCTCCTCCCCTCCTACTGGGTTTCCATTTTCTCAGAGTTTGTCACTCACGAGACCAAATGTGTCGTCTAAACCCCACATCTATTAGAAGCTTATTTATGTTGGACATGAGCTCGTGAATTTACATCGTAGGTGCCCGTGGTTTCTTCGACATGTAAAGCCGTCGCTGGTCCAATGCGCCATTTCCAAAGCACTCCATCTAACTGAAGGAGCCGCGCGAAGAAAATGCCAGTGATGTCATTTTCCGCAGGGTTGATGGGAGAAAATCAAGCAGTGATGCTGAGGGTCCAGTGCTCCTGGTACTGTCGGGAATCTGCTTCAAAGGATTGCTTTGGCCACACGCCTGGAGTCCGACCTGGAAGATGATTTCTCAAGAATTTATCGCTGACTATAAAAACGTTGGCCTCAATACTCGAGAAGCTCCTGGAAAAGCGATGGACTTCATATTGCTGGAGACTTGTTAAATCCAAATATGAATCAGATGTTTGTTAAATTGGCTAAATAATCAAAAATAATCAAGTTCAATTGTACTCGATAATCAGGTAGATTTTTGGTGGGTTTATAAAAGTGTTATCATGGATCTTTTTTTAATCAGGGATGCTGAATTGGGCATAAAACATACAGTAAGGTGCAGACGAAGTTAGCGGGCTGCGTGACGGGCATTTGACCTTTTCTGGATCCTTCACATCACGGGGACCAAAACTCAGGCTCCATAAGTAACCGACGCCCCCATTTACCCCGTCACGCTGGGCCCGTCTGGACTGGCCTATGGATGTGTGGCAGCTGTGCTGTTATTCTCCAACACCGGAGCCACTCATATTTGTACCATCGCAGAAGGATCATAAACCTTGACGAGGTGTTTACATGCACGTGTGTTTGCTCCTCTGTGGGTTTTCATTGCACAAACATTTCCAATGATGTTTTGGTTTGGATCCTCCAGCAGTGGGTGGCCAGGGTTGAACAAAAAAAATCCCCTCGTCCTGCTCATATCCTTAAAAAACCTTTTCAGGGACACATGTCTTATGACACTGTGCTTCTCTGTTTGGAGTTGAGTTCTGGTTTTGAAGTTTGCACATATCTATTCTTTTCACAAAGGCCACGCAAGTCAGACCACAACTGGTGGTGGTTTCTTCTTCCCTCACAGCTGCCCGATTTCTGTTTTTTCCCCTTCTTCTTTGCCACGAGGACTGCTTCTTAGCCAATTGTATTCTGTCTCTGAGTTGGGTGTGGTTGAGGTGAAGTCATACATCACAGCACCCATCAATCCTGTTGTTTTTTGGTTATAACTGACTGACTTTTTCTCCTGTCACGTCTCGAAGGGTTAAACTAGCATCAAGCTGTCGCAGCGTGATGACAGAGAAGTTTGTTTGCAACATGTGTCACGTTAATTTAAGCTGATTATGGTCGTACACCCTACTTTTGCCTGACCCTCCGGTAAGCCTGTCTACAATTATGGCTCCCTGTTGGCCAGGCGATGCATGCGTGTGCCTCTCTGCGGGCCTCGCTCATTCATTATTGAGCGACTCCTGATGTTTTAAAGACCGTCACAGTACCGGTGTCAGGTACCCGGCCGATCCCCTCCGCTGAACCACACTGTGCCAGGATACAGTTCCCGTTGAAGCTGCTCCCGAATGCTCCTGAACTGCAAAACCTTTTGTTAGCTTTGGATTTTGACTCAACCACGGCTGATTTCACCAACACTGTTTGTACGGCTAACCTGCGATGGAACTGGGGAGCTTGAAATGCATTTGGATATTTGTCTTGGCCTGATGGTGGGGCTCTTCGAGCTCTGAGGAGGTATGGGGCTGCTATCATTAACATTTCTTGAGAATGAGAATTAAGGGTACTTTTATTGCTGACCATAAAAAACCAAGACAGCAATGTGTTCACTTTAGCAGACTTGTGGTGAAGCAATATGGTTATTTATGCAGCTGAAATTTTTTGGGGGAAAGTCTTGGACTTCTTGGTCTCTGAGGAATAAGGGGGTAAAGTGTAACAGCTATCAGTCGTAACGATCTTTACAGTTTTATTAGTGCGATATTCAGCAGGGAGACTGACTTCGGTTGGGGTTGCAGGTTCTGTTTGTGTGCAACTTGATCCATAAGTGCAGGTTGCCTAGAAACCCCATGAGGGTTCAGCAAAAACAGAAAAAAAGCAAAAAATGCTCCCAGACTCAAAGAGATTTTGGCCTTACAAGGGGATGTTGTCATTCAGTCCTGTTTGGAGTGTGTTGGGGAAAGACTTTTTATCTCCCAAACTGGTGCACAGAGCAACTGTGATAGACTTAATTTATTGTATACAGAACCAAGAACAGCTCTGTGTGTGCATGGAAAAGCCTTGTACGCTATTCTACTTTTATCATGCTGGAGCTGAAACCGCTGGTAACATTTCAAACTGCACAAATGCTGGAAAATTACTTTTCTAGCCTTTCTCTTCAAATATGCCTCCAGTAAAAGTGGTAAAAGTGTGTTTGTCTTTATTGTCTCTTCTGATTGCTGCTTAGAAGAAAGACAACCTTTTGTTCTTGTTAAGTCCAAATGCGAAAAGAAATAACAATTCTGTAGAATTGAGATGTTCCTCCTGGCTCCTCGAGTCCACTCCCCCTGAAACAGCGGGCGAGTGCCACAAATAAAATGTGGAACTCCTACTGTCGGGCACCTTCCTCTGGGAGCATTTCACACGTCAAGCCAGCCCTTCTTCTCTGGAGAGGCTGGAGACAGATGCTGAAAGATAACAGTCTCTCTCCTGCTCCTCCCAAATGGGTCGGGTAGAATTAAATAATGAACTACTACTCTTTTTACCAAAACAACTAACTGATACGTTTTTAATCTTCTCATTGTAATTACTCTTTGTGAAGACTTCTTTCTAACTGCACTTTGGTATACATAAAACTAGCGATGGATGGAGGGCCGGTAGCCTCCAGCTTTGGCTTGTGGCCAAGGAGTTTGCTCAGAAGGTCGTTCACATCGCCGACTAGCTGGGAACCTGTGAGGGATCTCATGGGAAAGCGTAGAGATGACGACATTGTGACATTTCCGTGTTTCATTGTTGTCCATTTTAGGTACTTCATTTAATGGCACGCCGTTGGCTAATGTTTAAGCCAAAAAAAATAGGCAACCGAACTTAGATTTAGGCAGGAAACCATATCTGACGTCATTGGCGTTCCTGAAAAAACAGCAACCGGTGCTCTGGAACGTTGGCCTCTTAGTTTGAAGTCTGTTTGCCGACCATGTTGCAGATGCTGAAACTATTCAGACTATACAGATGCAACTCTCGTGGAACAAACTCGTTTTAGCTGAGTGTCAGCTTGGCAAAACATAACCCAACTAAAAATAAGTCCCTCATTCCAATGTTATCTGTGGAATGCCCTGCATTTAGCCTCGCTGGGATAATGGGCAAGAGCACTGTTGTGTCTGGACGGAACAAGTATGTTCTTCCAATGCCTGGCTCTCTATATTCTACGACAGACAAATCAATGGGAGATTTCATTTATTTCATAATAAACTTAATAGTCCACATGGGTCCTGTCAAAGTCCCCAAAGCTGACATAACAATGGTCCGTAAGTTTGCGATGCATAAGCTTATGTTACGTTAGCTAATGTGATATTAGCTCACGTAAAGTTAGCATGAGTTACGTTAGTTAACCGTGCGCTAGCGTAGCTTCTATTAAATGGACCAGTTTGTTTCTACACATCACTGGGCCTCGGTCACAAGTTCTCTCACTATTCTTCACATCAGGAATTATTATATTTGAGGATGTGGCTGCTGTTTCTGCAACATATTCAGTGGTAAAATTGACGTCTGTAAATCTGTATACTCCACTACATCCTGTGGCAACCCCAATGCTTCCTTTTAACAGTATCGCTCAAACAATAATGATCACAGTACTTGCTAGCATAATGGGTTGAGCGTGGCAGTATAATCTGGCTTACTTGTCATCTGATATACCGTGCAATGTACCGGGAAACGACCTCAGCTTGTAACTCGGAAGATGTAAACAAAGCTCCTGCGTTGCTCAATAGAAGCTAGCTGATTTGCCAGATGTTCAGACAGTGGGCATTATCTGCCGCCATGTGTGAGTCTCTGTGTCCCGGCACAAGGGTCCATTTGAGCCGGCTCACTATGCGTGGGTTGGGAATGTCAAGTCCATGGCTCAGTGCTGCTTCCAGTTTGCTCCCCCCTGCATGACAGCTCCGTGGCGAGACCGTGACAGCCGTCTCCTCCCGACAACCTCCAGGTCCATGACGGCACGTAGGCAGCACGGCACCGGCCAGTCGTCCGATCCTGAGTATTTAAAGGCCAAAGGCCAGGGACGACAAGTCACAAGCTTTGGGCTTTAGTCAGTGTGAGATAAGAGAGCAGCAGGAGAAGAAGCCTTTTGTCCGTAAACGCTGGCAGTTTTGAAATCAAGCCAAAGCATAAGGAATCGGTTACGGAATGAGGCACTCCTGAAACAACAAGGATATTAAACTTTGGAGAACTCAGCCTGACTCCCTCAATCCTGAACTCCATCACATTTATTCAAGCTGGTTTTGGCCTCTCAAAACGGTCAGTTGACTTCCTCGCTTCTCTCGATTTCCTCCCGAGTTAGATTTATTTTGATTTTGTTTAATAAATGTTCATTGCTTTTGGCACAACATTGAAGCCAAGACACAGTGTTTGGGTATTTTGTTTTTTTGCAGAACGGTTTTTGTATTGAGTTGGTGGTTTTACTCAGAATCTGCAAAAGACATTCTGCTTCACCACAGAATATTTTAGAAAAGGCTGAACCACTGATTCTGCAGTTATGGAGAGAACAAACAATGAGGTCAGCGGATAATGACATTTTGGCGGTAGATCAGCCTGCACGTGTGCTGCTTTTATTTGTTGGTGAAGAAAGAGGCCTACGACATAAGCGTGCATAAAAAACGGAGACTATCTGTGGCACAACAGTATTTATATTTAATATTATAATTATATTGTCATATAGGCCTTTTATGTTTATATGGTTCTCACAGAGACAGTTTTCTCTGGTCAAAATGAGTCTCAGAGACATGGAAAACGATGATCCCCTTGAATTCCAACCCATAATGCAATCAAAACCTTCATTTATAATTGCCAAAGCAGCCTCTGTTATTTGCAAAGTGGAAAGAAGCACCTACGTACGGGTCTAATATTAATACCACATGACCGCCGTGTTTGGCGAAATGTGGTGGGTAATTTGCGGTGGAATTTTAAGCGACAATTGGAAGGACATGACAGATGTGCCCAGGATTAAGATAAAAAACAACCTATGCAATCTTTACAAATTACCAGAGGTCCTCAGGTATTACTAATCTCATGAAAATATGGATATTTCATTCTAGAAAGGAACAAACCACTTGTTGCAGTCAATATATGAGTTAACCAGACAGCTGAAGAACTGGTGGTACTTCTGTGTACCTTTGTGGTCATTTGCTTTTGAAAAAATGAAAAACAATACATTTTTTCAGTACGGCTATAGTGGATTAGTGGATAAGTGTGCTGCTGTTAAGGTTTAGTGGGAGTTCATTGTCAGTCTCTTTTGTTGCAGTGTTGGTTTGGTGGAAGATTGTGTCCATCAGAGAGAACTATTATGAAAAGAATGATATTGAGACAAATGTGGTAAACCGTACATTATTTACATCATTACATTAAAATGATAAAAGTTGATATGAGCCTTTAAACTCGGCGTATTATCTCGACCCTTTGCCGTTTGACCGCTCAACCTTTGGAGCAAACAGTGGAGCTGCAGACACAGTATATGAAGCCACTGAGCTGACATAAGGGAAGAAAAAAGTAGACTTGCGTGTAAAATGCAGAAGTTGGGGTGACGGTACACGAGAAATGACTGGACAACTGCCAGTAACAGAAACATGCACGCAACATTTAAATCCCCCCTCGACACACACGTGAAGCATGAATACGACTGCTGCGGTACGTCTCCAGACAGCGCGGCGGTTTGCCTCACACACACAGCTCGCAGAGTGGTTGTTATTTTACCCGGCATGTGACATGAGGCCGAGACAGAGGTGTCCTTTGTTTGGCTACCTGCAACCGAAGCGTTCTCCATGGTAACCGAGCAGGGGAACCCACGGGGCCACTCGGGTTTCAGTCCAGACATGAAAAGAAATGTCCACCCCAGCGAGAAAATTTGCCCGGATCCTGTCGAAGCTGCAAGGCCCTGTCGAAGTTGACCGCCTGCGAAGGGTATTTCTGCAACACTTGCAGCATTCCTGTGCTCGGGGACATTTAAACTCTGCATGATTGCAACACAACACAGGGCCTTGTTTACCAAAGTCCGCAACAACCTGCTGTAGATTTTTTTTGGTAAAAATAATAAAACTTTCACTCTCCTCCCTCGGGCATCGTGTTTTTTTTGTTTTTTTTGCAGTCGGCAGGCCACTTTCTGCAAAATGACAGAGATCACTTTCAGTGCAATGGTCCTTAACACGGCACTTAGTGGCACACTCTAAGTGCTCAGGACTGAATAGCTTGATTGGACAACTCATCTCCATTTGTATGGTAATCCACAGAAGAGCGCAGTAACAAGCCGGTGGCACATGTAATGGAATCTGTTGGATCCGTGTCTCGTTGGCCGTGACCCTGAGCTCAATTTCAGGGCTGATGTAATTAATCTACGCCTCGATTATAATAATTGAATGGTGCAATTATATCAGCGGCCATTCTGTGCTTTTCTATATTCTACTCTAATCTAACTGCACTGAGTAGGTAGATGGTTTTTTCCCCCAAAACTCTGAGTGCACTTCCAGACTTCCATGGTTTTGGCACAGCGCTGGTATAATTTCTGATTAGCCGTGATGCTTTCTCTGAAAATGGCCCTGGAGGAGCCATGCCAAGACTGCAGTTAAAATACTCCCTCCTCCCCCGCCCTCTGCATCCTATTCCTGCTGCCTCCTATCTTTATGTTTCTATGGGTAATATCTCTTCACCTATTCATCCGCCTGTTAAATCACAATCACTTACTCAGTCGCTTACCTCTCTAAAAAAACGTAAATGTTTTTTTTTCTTATCCATCATCAAATAGTTCCCTTTGTGCACATAATAATAAAACCCGGGGAGTTTCGTTGGAGTGGGAACAAATGGTAAAACAAGAAAGGGCGACTCCCCCTGAGGTTTTTGTCGTGCACAATCCTCTCCATCTCCAGACGCCAGTGGACGAGTCCTTCTGTCATCGCTTCGGCCTAAAGACTGCGGCACTGGAGTAGCAGGCCGACACGGGATCAAACTAGTGACGTCCAGCGAGCACCACACACCCCTCCTCACTTTCTTTATTGTGAGTTCTCCTGCTTAGATTTATCGATCCCACAACACTCTCTGGGGCATTTAATGAAAAGCTGAAACGTGCTCCGTGACACGGGCAGGGTGTGTCTTTGTGTGCGTGAGAGAGATGTAGTTTCACTTTGTAACTACCTGCTAATTACTCGGCACAGTAAACATGGAATTTGTAACCACACCACTGCAGCATATCATTAACTAAAAGGATTAGAGTGTGTTTCAGGCGGGAGGGCGTCCACGGCTTCTCCCGATTGGGAACGTACTAATCTAAACGGGACACATCAATAAAACGGTGGAATAAAGTTGCGGGCACTTAAGAGCGTCAGCCTCTTTTTCTCAGGCTCAAAGTAAGGAGGAGAGTCCCTGGCTGGCAGCCAGCCAGTAAATTAGAAGATAAGAAATATTATTCCACTGGCACACCAGCGGCTTGCAGCTATTTAAAACCGTGAGGTTTATTGACAATTAAATTAGTTAGAGGAAAAGACAAGACAGGAATAGAATGCTTGGAGGCGGATCAATAAGGAGATTTTGTAGTGGAAAAGGCCGCAGTGGAGAGCAACACAGCCAGGACGAGGCAGTCTGTGTGTGTGTGTGTGTGTGTGCGCGTGTGTTGAATGTTAATAGCGCACGGAAGCATTCAGCCTACTGCTTTTCACTTCATTCGTAACACTCTTTCGCACTCGACGGGAAAAGGAAGACGCGCGTCCGTGTGTCGTGACCTTGAGGTTGACGCTGATTGTCTGGTGTTCCAGGTGCGGCGCTGAAGGGAGATGTCCTCGGACCGGATGGCGAGCCCTCGGAGCAGCTCCAGGCAGAGCAGCTCGCTCTCTTCGTCCCCGATGAGGCAAGTCGCAGCAGCCGCCGATGTCTGCACGTACACACGGCCAAGATATTTATATAAATATACACACACGGCGACCATCAGTGGGAAGCAGCATTCAAATATCATAACCCCGGCCCGGCGAGGTCATAGGTCCCCGTTTGATTACGTTTCTTCTCATGTCCTGTTCAATGTATTTGCATAAGAGGAGACGTGCACAGAGACTGTGAGAAGGTGTAACTGTCCTATTTTGTGGTGGTGCAGAGCTGTAAATGGGCTCCATGTTGACAGCACATTCACGTGTAAACCCAAACAACGTACGAACAATAATTTGCCGTAATGCGAAGGAACGACACCCCTTGAACTCTTGATAATGCAGCATAATGGTGGCGGACGCCGGTGTCATGGCGGCGGCTCTTGTTGGAGCAGTGATTGAGGTTCTCAGAGGGGACGGGGGTCCGGTTGTCTCATCATTCGTCGCGGTTGTTTGTGAGCAGATGGAAGGCGACTCGTGTTTGCTTCTCAGTGGTGTGTGAGTTACACACTCTGTACGTGAGAGACTTTAGGAATGACTCTTAATTACGAAGGAATCACCAGTATTTAGCTAAAAGTATTACACATTTTCATCCCTGCTTACTTTCTACAGATGTCTTTGTCAAAATTAGACTTTAACTCACTAAACATCCAAAAGAACCTAAAATTTGATTCTTGTCATGGTCGCTACTAAAGATCTGATGAAGGAATGTAACAATAATTTAATGAACAGATTCAATGAATGTCTTCAATGGTTTTATAGTTGCATTCTGTAAAACTAAAACATTAGAAACTGAATGACTTTTCAGTCCAATGTTTTATTAGAAAATACAGATTAGTGCAGCTAAATTTGACGATATTCATCCTTTGGCGAAGTAATTTTGGATGATAAACTAACTATTCTTCATAGGCAGACCCCCCCCCCCCCTCGAGACTGCAGAATCAGATCCGCGCCGCCTCCCCCTCTGCTTCAGGAAATATCTACCGGCTGCTGATTGATTGGAGTTGTTGGTTCAACAACGCCAAACCAGTATATCGGTCTTAGTAAGGATCCTGCATCGAGGCGTTAAGAGGCGGACCACAGCAGGAGGGGCAAAGGTCAAATCCTAATTGACAGTGCAAACAAATGCACACACACAGTTACAGAACCCCCCCCCCCGACACACACACACACACACACACAAGGCCACAAAACCAACATCCACAATCGGCTTCCATATTGTGCAGAATAAATGTGGAGATTTAAACAGAAAATATTCAAACTAAACTAAACTAACCGACTTTAGTTTAAAAGTGAGTGTGTCTCATTTCTGGAGACAAACTCATCGGCCGTGATTTACATCATTGTGGCAAAAGTGTCGACTTGCCGATTCTTCTTCTTTTATTAAGCCACCGTGTCATCGATAGCACGTTTAAATATATACCTTCTGACAGTTTTGTGTTTACAAATGCTTTCACAGCGCGGCGAGTGCTCTTGGGTGTCACATCAGTACAGCTGTCACGGCATACATAAGTAACCACACACACACACACAAACAAACAAACAGATCATCTCCGACTTGCCTTCTTTGTCCATCCCTCATTCGCACACAAACAGAAAGCCTATTTGTGCCGCACGCGGCTCAGTAAATCAGCTGATGAAAGGAGCCAAATGACTGAATTGTGTTACAAGTAAATTGCAAACACAGATGCACTCGGTAGACAAACAGAACCAGACCGGGCCTCAGGTTTCAGTCTGAAGAGAGCGCTGCGAGGAGGTGAGCTGCTTCTGTGCCGTCAACTGCCCGTTTTTATGTTGCGGATTTATGTTTGCAGCCAATGCAGGAATGCTGGAAGTTACACAAGTGTGGGTTTGCTGATGCGAGGGAAAAAGTGCAGGACGCCGCAAGGAAAATGGAGCTGGCGAACGGGAGAGACGAGTCAATTGGAGATGATTTGACATCCTAATAGACGGGTGTCGTAGCTTCAGAGAGAGACTCTGAATACTCGCTTGATGCTCACTGAGAATGTCCTGCTGATGATTTCTAAAATCATTGGAACCAGTGTTCTCACGACATCGCCATGTACGTTATTCCTGCAGCAGGCGTCCCTTTATGCATGTGACGGTCAGAGAGACAGAGGACAAACAAGATAGGAAGGCAGAAGAGACAGAAACAGGCTGCGAGTGTTTTAGGTGAGTCTGGCCTTAGCTGCACTTCAGGGGCCGTCTGAAACATCTGGGAGTCAGCTGTAGGCCAGAGGCCACAATATTCCCTTTCACTATGGAGACGGGGCCCGAACCCACATTTCACGGTGCCATTATCCATGGAATTTTACCATTTTCTCAGTGAAGTAGCATTTTTTTAAATAGCTTCCTGAAGTGTTCAGTGGAGCTGGAGTTCTTTGTATTGAGATTTGTCCAGAGATATAGTTTTTTAAGCAGAAGGATAAAAGTGTCCTCATTCAGTCAAAGCCACATCGGTCTGGTCCACAAAGTCCAGCGGCTCATTCTGCCCACATTCCCCTTCCCGCTTTCTCCCACTGGAACGCGGTTCCGTTGTGGTATTTGGGAGAGAAATTTCCATTTGTTCAAAAGTGACATCAGGCGTCAGACGGTGATATTTAGCAAAAAGTAGTCGGCGGCGGAGGCTCGTTCGCAGTGTGAGGAATGACTTCCAGAACTGTGGGAAGAAGCCTCCAAACATGAATAATTACACAAACCACCACGTTTACAGTGTTTAGCGATATTGCACGCAGCTGCTAGACAATTCCAGATGTTGTGATAAAACGTCTGGTGAGGGTTCTTACCCCAAAGCCCTCACTGTACTAAACTATGAGTGAATACAGTTATGATATATATATATAGTTGCATAGAGGGTCAAACCCCAGTCCCCCATACATTCCTCTACCATTCTACAGACGGCAACACAATTGAACACAATATTTAAATGTTTTTTTGGGGGAAAAAGTAGCTGTCTGTTGAAGCATCGTGTAGGAAACCCTGATATCTCATTGGTAGCCATTAACAGATTGAATTGTATTAAAGCCTGTTTAAACGTTACTGCTAAATGTTGTTGTGTTGGGTTGTAAAGCTGGGCCTCTAAATGGCTGAGTCACATTTAAATGTTTTAAATAGGGCTGCAATGAATTCATTAAGGGGGTAACACATTATGTAGTAACTATTCTGCCCCAATTACTTAATTCATAATTTGCTCAATAGTTTTCCTCATGTCAGAAAATCGTGAAGAATTCATCATCATTTACTGAAGTCTAAGAAAACATCATCTAATTGCTTCTTTTTTTTAACAAAGAAAAGGCAGGAAACTCTCAAATTAAAGACAATGTATTTACAATAGTACATATATTTTTATTTTTGACTTGACCAAATACGTTAAAGATCAATATAGCTGCAAAGTAGTTGCAGATTAGTTTTCTGTCCAATCTGGATTCCAGAATTTTACACACCTTGTTGAATATAAAAGTCAATGACACACTTCCTGGTTCTTCTGTCCACAACTGGGCACGGAGAACTTATTTTCGTATTTTACAGTTTAGTTAGTTTCACACATTTCCATTAAACCTTTAGGACCACCTGAGCCAAAGAGGGCATCGCCCCACCTGTGCTCATGAAGTGTTTTACACGGTTCCAGAATCAGCAGCCTGCTGATGGGAAACACCCCTGAAAAACAAAGTAGTTCCTGCTGTGCGATAACGTCCGTACTTGAGTGACAACAGGTGCTCTGCAGTCTGAAAGCTGCCCGCTCGCCGCGCCGCTGTGCAAAGATGTGACTGTCGCTGGCGCTCAGAGAACATTTGTGTTGTCGTTTGTTTTCGGTATCTTCGTGATGCGATTAGCGAATGACCCTCAAGACGGCACGCGCGGGGCTTCGTGCTCACAGTGTGTTTTCATGCGGACGCTGTTGCTGTTTTTAGCCTCAAACAAAGTGACTCACATCCTGTGATGAGGGCATCTTTAACATGTCCACATTTGTGCAGCATCGAGAGTCACTTTTGTGTTTCCTTCTGTTTGTTCGCTGAGGGCCCCCCCTCTGCTGTCGGCAAAGCAGCCGGATGTCACGCGGCGAGGTTCATATTGTTGTAATCTCACACTTTAATGTGGCGTACAACATCTCCTGAATCACTTTTGTGGTGTGGAGGAAGTCTGTGATGTCTGTCATTTAACCAACGAGCCACTATAATACCAACTATGATTTATGCAAATCTGTTGAAACCAAGTATTTGATTTCAAGTCATTTGTCTGCCTGATTTTTCCGCCTAAGAACAGACAATTTTGTCTGAATATGTGAAAATCTCCAAAGCAAAATAGAGCCTAGCAAAAATTTAAATGAATGCTCACTTCTGCCGCTACGATTAGCAGAAGGCTAAAGTATTAGCAACGTTTTGTCCAACCTGTGTGAGCACTGAGGTTAGCGGAAGGCTAAGCTAAGCTAGCAGCGCCATTTCCTCTCGATCTCTTTGCTCTTTACCCAACAACCAGCAAGATGAGTCTTTCAGTGTGTTCTTTTTTTTCGTCTGCCTTCTTCTACACCTCGTCAATAGCTCCAGCAAAGAGTTCCTGTAACAAGCCATTTCGACGACGTGACTAACACAAACTCTGAAAGCCACCTAGTGCTCGCACACACACTCCGTCTGACGTCACAAACCAGCGTTTAAGAAACAAACAAGTGAGTTGAGTTCACCGACTAAAGAGTCAGAGCTGCAGCCTCTCGGTGACTCATTCAGCGGAAAACAACTCTCTCCACGTCTCCCAGCACACGCAAAGTTAAAAAGTGAATCATCTAAGAGCTCATGTTATTATTCACACCTGTTGTGATGACACCAATCGGAATCCCTTTTTTTTGGGACGTTTCTGCGTGTTTCTGGTTCGAAGCACTGTAACCACCTTTTGACCTTCTTTCAAGTTGAATATTTAGACCCACTACGATTCCAATCCCAGATTAATTCAATTACCATTTATTAGTTTCTTAAGACATCCCCTGCAACCCTCCATTTTTAAATAGATAAAGCTGTTGATGGTCTTTATTCTTCTCATTGTTAACACATCTCAAGCCAACTATGTGTTAGTGCGCCTCTCTGTATTTTCTGTCTTCCCTTTCATGTCTAAGTCACACAAAGTCCTTGCACGCCGTAAAGTTTTATTGACAGCTGTGTAGGATCAAAAACTCCCCACTGTGAAAGAAGCACACATTCATTGTTTAATTCAAGTTCTTCCAGCTCAAGGCTGAGCAACACAGTTCATTTCCATTGACGCTGGTTTGATTCATTCTGGCTCCGTTAGGCCCCTTTTCTCCTCATAATACATATTCATATCAAACACGGAAATTAATAGGCTTCCAACCCGCGTGCGGCAAACAAAACAATCCCAGCGCTCACGAAGCAGCTTGCGTCTCTGCTGTGGCTTCCTGAGATGAGAGCGAGCGGCGCCTCGTCTCCACGTCAGGATCCCTCTGCGGGATAATGGAGCTGCTGTCTGCTGACCCTCTGCTGGTGCTGCATGTAAATATTTGTCATTCCCTGCGAGCTGAAGTGCACCGCTTCCCCTCCTTTGGAAAACAAGCCTATCATTATTATTATTATCTTCTTTTTTTCCCCCCTCCCCTGTGTTGAGGGAAACGTTTCGTGGCTCGATGTGCGTGTGAATCGAGGCGGGTTCATCCTCATGTGACGCTGTTATGTAACTGTGGAAAATGATTTGAAATGGCCACAATGGGTCTGACGCAAAGGTAATTTGTCACTTTGCGCATTTGAGATCGAATGGCTTGTTTCTTTTTACATTTTCAGTCGCAGAATGTCACTATGGGACCATCGGCAAAACACATTATGCATGATGACCACAATAGAAGTTTGTGGTCAACAAATCTGCTTCAGTCTTTCGTGTAGGTTAATTGTAGGAAATGTAGAGGAAGATTATGCCGATTTAGAAATGAGAGCCCTCCATCTCCACTACCAATGATCGAGCCCTTGTGATTGTCGCCGCTGTGTCATTAATCTCCAAAAAGAGACACTAGGGTATGTTTTTTGAGAAGCTTTTCTTTTCTTCTATTTAAGTTGAGTTAAGTCATGAAGTCACCATCATCACCATGAAGTCAAGCTCTGCACAGCTCCTTAACACAACTCCGTTCCTTCAGCACACTGTGTGGTTTGATAGTGGATGAGATATAATTGGAGCTGGGGCTTCCTAATGACTCGGCCCTGTGAAACCCAAAACCTGCAGATGTTATGCGATGACGCTGTCTGTCAGCGTCAATGAGCAATCTTTGTTTTTAAATGCACACGCAGCCGACAATGGTTCTCTCCACCCAGCCAGGTCTGCACCAACATTCAATACTAACGCAATATCCCGACGTCTCCAGCGAGCTGCCATTCCTCACCAACAATACCCAGACGGCCCAGAGCCAAACACCAGGCTTCATTAGAGACTCTCTCCCGTGTGTTGACTCAAAGCAGAGGTGGCTTCTGCAGCCATCGACCCGTCCACTTCCAGGGAGCTTTGAGTCATCGGGTGGAGGTCTCTGTGTGGCCCCCCCCCCTGAAGCCAGCGCTCGCCAGGGGTCAATGCCGGGAGAGATTGAAGTGTGGAGGAGTGTTTGTTCATGCCGTCTCCGTACTCTGGGGGAAATGCTTAAACTAACAAGTGTGTAAACCGGCAGTTATCGCTGGATAATTGACCTTGAGTGCACGTCATTGATTTTAGGAATGCAACGGTGGTTTTAGTTCTGTAGTTATATTAGCTGGCATCGATGGAATTGTGTCGGGTTTATTTCCACATAGGGAGACTCATAATGATCGTTTTAGTAGGACTGTAAACTCATACATGCAAACCTGCATTCATCATAAGCAGTGTTGTTATTATTCCTCTCAGATTTAAATTTTTAGAAGTAAACCCTGATCAACCGCAGCACCTTCAACGGCAATTATGGCATACAGAATGTTCATCGCTAAAATGATGCAAAAAACACTTGCTTATCTTTCGGAAAGGTAATAACAACAACATAATAACAAGTAGACACCACCCTCAAAACTCTAACCTCTTCTTTTGATTAGTCAACCAGACCAAACCAACACCATGAACTACACTTTCTAATAAATAGGAAATAAGAAATTGGCAAAAAAAAAGAGGGAATGAAAGTGAGTAGAAGGGCGGCACAGCCAACTGAAATGATCCGTCATTGTCCCCAGTTGAGTATGAGTAACCACTTCCTTCATTTTGAACTGATTAAGCATGCTTTTTCTTGTGAAGGAGGCAACGATGATTATGGTTTTCTATTATGAATCAGCTCAGCTTTAGTCAGCATGCCGGTCAGCACAAACAACTTCCTGCAGCTCAGAAAATACTCGACATGCAGACACTGTGTGTTTATAGGTCCGATTTGTTGTTCTAATGGGGTTCTGTTTTTGTAATTTGTACTTTTATTTCTACATCAACAATGAGCAAATGCTATGAAACGGGACAGACGGGGAATGAACTCTGGTCGGATCCTCAGACTGAAAACGAGGCATTGTACATTCTGTAAAAATCAAAATCTTGTCAATCCATTCAGTCAATGTAGGTGTCCAACACACATTGGGTTCAAGGTATTTAACCCATCTTAACCACACACGCGTCCTGCGTTCCTTCTACTTTGTTTAGGTCCGTGTTCACACTGTTGAACCACTGAGACACATTTACAAAGTGAATAAACTGGCTCTTAATTATCGTGCGTTTGAATCTCCAACAGTACCCGCATGCAGTCGCTCCACGTGGACTCTGTCCAGCGCTGGATGGAGGACCTCCGGCACATGACGGAGGTGGAGTGCATGTGCGTCCTGCAGGCCAAACCCATCGGGGTGGAGGAGGACGCCCAGCAGGGAGAGCTGATTGTGGCCGTCGGTGCAGGCGACCACGTGGCCAGGAACAACCTGCAGACGCTGCTCCGCCGGGCCCTGGTGGTCAGCACGGAGCTCGGCAAGATGTTCCAGCGCCTGGAGAAAGGACGCTGGCAGAGGGTCCACAGCACCGCCGTGAGGGCCAACTGCCACGTGCGCTCGCTGGTGCACGAGTACAGTGCCGCCCGCAGCACACCGCCTGAAATGCAGAAGGTGTGGTCGGCATGTGAAGTCCGTTTGGGGTACCTGCGAGCCTTTAACAGTTAAATACACAAAGAAAGATGTGTACTTTGTTAGTTTCTAATCTAAATTTGGTGACGCGCTAATTCAAATATAATCAGGACTTAATTGTCCAGTTACATAGAATGTGATCATTTTTTATTTATTCCCAATACATTGGAATTAAATGAAAAAGCTATATTTAGTTATCTTAAATAAATGTTTTACGTATTATAGATAACAAATTTATACATTTGTCAAATGTAATTATGCATTGTCTTTGGATCCATTAGAAATGTTTAGTGAAAGTTAGATATCACTCACTTGCACTAGCACTGCATGTGGATCACACACACACAATCTCATAACAAACGTATGTATATGTTCTTCTCCTTCTCCTTTTCTTGCAGTATGAGAGATCTCTGCTGGAGAAATGTCTAGAGCTGACCAATATCTCAGAGAGGTAAGACTCTGGAGGGCAAAATAAATAAATTAGCCCGAAGTGTTTGGGTCATAATCCAAAATGCCTCTCCACTCACAGGTGCCTTCACACCGATGACGAGTTCTTCCTGAAGTCCATGAGGGAGGCCATCCACGACATCCTCACGGACGTCAGCGATTCCTTCAGCAACATGATCGACATGGCTCTAGCCAACGAGATCCGGGTAATGTAACGGAATCGTGACCCTCAGGCCAAAGTAAATAACACGACACCTCTAAAGTAACTTACCATTCACTGAAGTTCAGATACGCTCTGTGAGATGAGGGTCACGCGATTAAAAACGATCTCTGTGCCTGTAATTTATTTTTGAAATGTCTCAACGTTTGATCTCCCCCACAGCTCCTGATCAAACAGATCGACTCATCGGACAGCGTTCACACGATCGGCAGCGCCATCAGCAACCTGCTGTCCCTCACCCAGGACGGCCCTCAGCTCTGCAGCATCATCGCCAAGGTACTGTGGACATACCAGTGGATGCTGTGCTGACCAGGGTCTGATCCAGCTGGTTCCCAGTGCCATTTATTTATCATTGGAAACCAGAACCAATTCTAAACTCAACATAATAATAATAATCTGTTAGATATTACTACAGGGTTACCTACAGCGTCATAGTCTGAAGCCAGTTGAGAGGGAAGACGTGTTGATAGGCATTGACGCAAAAAACATGGAATGTCGGAGGTCCCGACATCGATGGCAAGTCGGCGGCAGGATGTGTTCTTCACTTAGATTTGCAGAAGCCGCTTCATTTGATAGTCCATCTCAAGCTCTCACTTCCCTCTAGACAAACCCCTGTTATGATCAGCTGCACCTTTTGCCAGTGTTCATCGTCCTGGCCTGCAGCTATCTCTTCATACAAGCCTGTAAAAAGCCACTTTACTGTGAGATAAGACCGGACAGACCAGACAGAGAGTCTAAATTGGCCATTAGTCAACCGACTGCTTCCAGGGTACTCTTGATAAGACTCATTCGGGTGGCCTGCACACAAACAGGCACACGCTCAAACACAAAGAATAACACGCACATACCTGCTTGGCTGCCAGATTGTCGGATCAATACTGTCAGCTCCCATTAGGAGTGAGCATTGGGCATAGATGCAGGCTGCTTTGCCTTTCAATGCGCTCCGCCTTTCTTAAGGCGCAGCGTAGAACCGCTGGCCCGAGCCCCCCTGAGAGAGGCGCGTGTGTGAACCAAGCCCGCCGATGGCTGCTAACGACTACGCATGCAAAACATCCTCCACCTGCCGTCTGAGTTAATCAACCAGCACCAGTCGGTCTGTCACAACTTTCACACCCTTTAACGGTGGCATCATATCCTTTGTTGGCAGCACGCTGAGTATACTTATGAGAAGAAATGCGATATTTGGCCCGGGCACCTGATATTTCCTCCTCTTCCATCTCTGCCCGTGTCAGATGTAGTGAGATGTGTGTGACATATAGAGATGAATCATTGTGTACGTACGCTGCCAGTACCAGATGCGTTTAACAATGTTGAGCAGCATAATGTATAACAGGCAGTTTAAGGCAGTGGCAGCTCCTCAGCACTGTGTGATCATTTGGTATCAACGTATTACTTTTCAGGCATCCAGTTGCAGAGCAACAACAGTTAATCATGTTTCACACGCAAACGCATCAACTTTTACGTCTCATCATGGCTGATGTCAGGTTTTAAAGTCTTTCTCTCGGGTTTTGTTTGAATACAATCAACAATATTTGAGTTTTGGGCGGGAAGGTTTTTTATCAAATAAAAGACATGGGTACTGAGCAAGCTAATTAAAAGAAAAAAAAATCCCACCAAAAAAGAAAACAATCCAGTATTGCAAACTCTCAACGTGACTGAAGAGAAAAATATGAGCTCATAAATCTCACAAATCAAATAGCAGCTGGAGAACGAGAGAGCGACTGTATCGTGACGAGTATTATACGCTGTATCAGTGTTTAATGTCACGATGGATACGGATCTGAACGTCTCGATGCTGGCTGTGCGGGCCCTTGCCCTCCTAACAGGGTAAGGGCAGGAGGGGGCAATAAATCACATGGGTAAGAGGGCAGAGGCAAGATTTACACCTGTTTTTTTGTGCTATTTATATAATCTGACAACATTTAGCTTCCTCCGCCACCCTTTTCATGAGAAATCGACATACAACCCCTGCAGCCCTCAAGAAGCTGAAGGCATCGTTTGAGCAAGCACAACAGTCCAGAGCACATAGTTCAGTTCAGGAAACGATGAGATGGAAGGAAATTACACGCCACGTCAACCTCCACATGCAAACAAATGGATAGAGAGCCATTATTAGACAAGTAGTCGAGTTTCACGTGATGATGTTAGAGCAACAAGTGCCAAAAAAGCACGAGTGTGAGGATAAATGCGTTCATTGAAGTGAAGACAATAGAGCCGCGAGTTGTTTGATGAGGAAGGAAAAGAAGCAACAAAAAAGATCCAGCGATCTGTGAAAAGGAAAAAGCAGCCAAAAATAATACAAACTGAAAAAACTGATGATTGTCTGAATGAAAGCGTCTGAAGTCAAGCTAGGGGTGGCATTTTTTCCTCAGACATATTTCTGATTTAAAGTGGATAAAGAAAGAACTTTTTCAAGTCTAATAACCTCGATCAGGCTTAAGTCTATATATGAGCATTGTGCCATTGTGGCTAAAATATCCAATTAGACGACCAATACGCTCACGTCAACTGGTAAACAAAAGGGCTCAATAGCGCCACCTTCAAAATGGCTCAAATTGGTTAATTGGTGCCGGTAATATCCCCCTCAACAAAATACGACTTTATAACGAAAGAATCAAAGCTGGAATGCGCATCAGACCATCGGAGATTCTCTGCACAGACTTACTGCGATGGCTAAATCAACATTTGCGTCACAGCATAACAACAGGATCAAAAACCTCTCCTCCACTACCCGAACACAGATTGATTTTACAGAGTTTCAATATTTTAAAACTGTCTGTCGGTGTTCACACTTCTTCCAGGTATGGCGGAAAAATATTGCGCAGGCGGCGAACAGGGAAAAGCGCTCAGGCTGCCGGGCGGGATGATTAGTCACTCCGGGCCTCAGCAGCACATGAGACATGCCAGCCCAGTATAATGGCCTTATTAGGATAATGGTGGTAGTTATGTACAGGCAAGGAAATCCTATCTGCAATAGAATTCAATACCTGCAAGTGTTTTTTTGTCAGAGGGTGCTTTGCTGCAGACACAGACACAATTCAGGAGCTATTTTTGTTTGTTTACAAGCATAATCCAACCGAATGGCCTCCGCTATTATAGCAGCTTAGGGTTCTCCATGTATATTTTGGCTGTTTTTATCTGACATGATGGACAGTGTGAGCCGTTCGAGAGGTTCTGTGGTTGGCCGCCTTCGCGGAGTAAATTCCGTTGGTCATTTCGGGTCTTTTGGAAGCCGGCTCGCTCTTATTGGAGAGAACTGCCGGACCGATTGGCTCTCACAGAACCCTCTAGCGCCGAGGATTGATCCGTCATTTTGTACAATCATGTGTGCTTCAAAGGCAATGGCTGATTAGGACGCACGGCGAGCTATTTGGTGGTATGAAGCCCATAAGTGATGCCAATCTCAAAACTCTTACTGAAGATTGTTTTCCCAAACTAACCACCTATTAGTCCCACTTCAACTAATGGCAACGTACGCGGAACCGGTTGCAACAAACGCTGTGTCCACTCGGCAAATAGACGAAGCAAAAATCTTCATGAGGGAAAGTAAGTTGAGGTTTGTCACGTTGAAGCGCCACATTTTTCTTTTTCAGAGGCCGCCTTAAATGACGGAGGTTTGACTCTGAAAAAAGAAAGTGGCGGGCCGTGGCACCAGACTGTGGTTTGGGTTTCGTTAACAGCAGAACTTGGTTCAGGACTGAGAAAGGATTGTTTTCCCTTTAATAGAAAAACGTCTCAAGTGATGGCCCAGACTTTTTTTTTTGCATTTAACCAACAACCCCCAAACGCCTTCGAGGTCTAGACATACAAAAGGTTCATAATGTAGTAATCGCACTTGTTACTTTGTATTAATTAGTATTTAGCATCTTCAGCTCATTCAAGAGACCTGAACAAGACACAGACAGTGAATGATGCCCGAGGAGGTTTTACTCTGGCGGTAACACTTCAGCATCACTGCAGATTAACAAAGCACCGTATTTGTTGTTGTTGTCTAATTACATTTCCTTCCTCCCCAGGAAGGAGCCGTGGTCGTCCTGTTTAAGATCTGCAGGCAGGACCGCTTCAGAGACCTCTACGCCCATGCCCTGAGGACCGTGGCCTCCATCTGCTGTGTGGAGGAGGGAATCAACCAACTGGACAAGGTAAACCTCGCTGGAATAAAGGAGAGAGAGTAGGAAGGTGAACCCCAAAAAGGAGGGCCAAGAACGCGATAAAGACGTCCGATTGCCCTGTGATCAGCTGACCTCGCGGCTCAGAGGGTGTTCTCCCTCCTCCCAGCAGCAGCAGCGTGTACTCTGACTGCTGGTGCACACAGGCAGCCAGGCAGCCAGTGTTATGACTGGGACGCCCAGTTTATTTTCACAAGTGAAGAAAATGCCAACAATGGTAGAAGCAGGAGGAGGAGGAGGAGGAGGAGGAGGAGGAGGAGGAGGAGGAGGATGTGCAAATGTGGAACAAAGAATAGTTGTGGCAAAGCATTTGTTTCGTTAAGGGAAATTATAGTATTAATATTATATTGTTTAAGAGGCCTCCATTGGCACACACAGATACTGTGTTGTTAATTATACACCTGCATTGTTGGGGATAAACTTTTGAACGGAGCGGTTGAGTTTTCAAGCTATTTAATCGATCACATTTTCATGAATGAGTTCAGTTGGAGGGGAAGCCACCATTAAACTCTCGCTGTATCATTTTAGGCACGGAGACAGTGAGGAAATATATATAATTCTGTGTACTGGGTTATTTGTCCAGATGGCAGAATCGTACAGGACACACACGTTAAAAAAGACGGGTGACATTATCATACAGAACCTCATGACCGCTGAGCCCACAGCTCAAACATTTAGACCTGCATGTGTGTGAAGGAAAGGAGGCGAGGCAGCTAGAGAGAAAGCCAACGACGCATCCTTTCTTCCTCCGTCCCTGTTTGTTCTCTTTCGAGAATTCAACCAGAATAAACAACAGACGCACCTGTGTCAATCCAGCGCGTATGGAAAGACAAATATAACCTGATTCCGGCTGATAATGATGCCACAGCGGCGCCCGTGTTCGCCCGCACAGCAGCTGGGACAGCATGAATCATCCGAGTGTGAAAGAACTATTTTAACGGGCAAAACCGAGAGTCGGCCCCAGATTAGCCGCCTCGTCCCGGGAGAGAAGCTGTCAGGCGAGTCCACGCCACCAAGCGATCAGCAGCAAACGCTCAGGCTTGAGAAACACACCTGTCATCGTCGGAGGGTGACCGAGAGACGGGGCCGGCGTGCATGTGCTCATCGCTGGATGTTCTATTTACCAACTTAGTTTTTCACCCCCACTGGAACTTTATGTAACCGTAACACGGGGAATGGAAAGGGTATCGGTCGTGAACATAGCTGCTCTTGACGGACAAAGAAAAGAACTTCCACATGAAGCGGGAAGATGGATATTATGTTATATGAGTATTATATGAGACTGGAAGTATGCATTTTTATATGGAAAGCTACTTAATCCTCTAAAAGGGTGAATTGAAAAGATAGGACATGATTCAAATATTCAACCATTGACTGTATACAAGAGGTGGACTTGGTCGTTGTGACATCACTTATTGGTGTTGAAGCTTTGAATTTTTCACCCTCATTTACTAAATTACCATCATAATGTTCAAACCAGCGATATAGATCATAAACTCATGTTTACAATGTTTACTCAGGTTACAAATCAAGTAAGAAATCCAGTCATTTTCTCATAGACTTCAACACAATTGGACTTCTCTTTGTAACGTAGGCGATGCCCCTTGCCTGCCATTGGAAAGAATGCAAGTCAACGACATTCACTTTTCCGACCTAGAAATTCCTGCTTGCGTTCAAAAACCACTGGCCGAACACAGATGTTTTTTATTTTTAGGCCACTCCAGGACCCAGTTTCATCACTTTATCAATCCCAAATTGTCCAATACGTCACTGTTTTTGATTTCAGTCAGCTTCCACGTGTTACATTTATAGGGTCTTTTCAAAATAAAAGCACATAAAGTCGTTCTACTTAGACTATGTTAGACAAAACAAATTGGTAGTGTAATGATCATGGTCTTGGATTAAAAAAAGAGTGTAATTTGTTGCATAACCGGTGTTAGTAAAGCTTACATATTAGAACAACCAGTTGACAGATCTTCATCCTTTAACTGAGAAGTAAGCTAACAAGAAAAGAAACATAACATATTTATTTGCTGTTTAGGATCCTGCCCTTTGGTTCCTGACTCAGAGAACCATCACCTTATTCTCTATGAACTTTTCACAGGATCGGATGAAGCAAATGAGAAGTTAGGAAATATCCTACTTTAGGGAGGAGGAGGTGGTTAGGGGGGCGTCTGGGGAGTGGATTGTTCCACGTCAGTGGGTCACGTTGGCACACCGCTGCTGACGTCCTCAGAGACGAAAATAGGGAATCGCCCTGTGAAGCTCAGCGCACTGATGCTCGTCAGCAGGTAGGAGTGACAGGCGTGACGGTCCGCCTCACTCTGGATGCTCCAAACTTCACAAACATGCATTTACTTTTCCCATCGATGATAGAAAGAATCACTGTGACTGGAAAGTGACCAATAAAAAAAAAAGAAACTTTCCGACGTTTCAGATGAGGGATTAATCTCCAGGAGACACTTTGGGCTTTAATTGCCACCATGGAAACTACCATCCTGGAGTTTATGACAGTCAGTCTATGAAATATGACTTGATATTATGAATGATTTACTCAGACAAACACTTGATGAGAACTACAGCGCACAGATGCAGGGAGGCCGAAGGAAAGCTGGCTTCAACTGTGTAATACTCCCCCCAAGTGGATACATATCTGCTCTACGTTTACATCCCAAAAGCTGTCATACCAATTCATGAACACAAACACACACACACACACACACACACACACACACACACACACAGTCTGGTTCTGATTTTTGAGAATATTACATTGACTGTAACCATTTCTGCTATAGTGTTTCCTCTTAATTGTAACGATTGACATCATGGGGATGTGCATTTTGTCCACGTAAGACATAAACAGATTCATTTTACGACAAAAGCTGTTAAAAAACACACACTCAAGCAAACACAAAGATAAGACAAACACAGTCTCAGGTTTCGCAAGTTTAAGCTAATTTGTATTTGACAATGAAAAAATAACATAAAATGACGACTATGAAAAATAAGCAAAAGCGCTTTCCAGTTTAGTCCTTGATGTGATGAGGGTAGAGATGCATCATACTGTAGCTTCTGTCATTTCAAACATTAAACCTGATTTCAAACAGTGTGCACCAACACCTATCCAATCTCAAAGAAACCACACCAAATAAAGCATGCACAGAAACATACATATTGAGATATACTGGTAAATTTATTGCAAATCCACGAACCTCCAACCCTGCGCTTCCCAGCACACCCGCTGTACCCCCTGTGCCATGACAACCACATTAATCAAATGAGGACAAACACTGAGGACTGTTGGTTAGCAATTAAGCTGCATGCTGCGGACGTGCAGGTGGACGGGATCCTGTGCCTGGCGGACATCCTGACCGATGACAGCAGCGTGGAAGCAGCCCGGGCCGAGGCGGCGGCGGTCGTGGCTCAGATCACCTCGCCTCATCACGCGTCCACTCAGCACCTCGCCAGCTTCCTGGAGAGCATGCACGACATCGTCACCGCGCTCATCAGTGAGTGGATGTGTGACATTTGACCTGCCTCGCGTTGGGCCTGACCCAGCGACTGTTTGGAGAAAATAGATCTATTTTTAGGCCTGAAACGAAATAACCAAAAGGGGGTTTGAGGCTGAAAACATCCTTTTGCGCTCTGCCTCTCATCCTTCTGAACCCCTGTACTGAATGAGCGATGTCTGATTCTCTCAGAGTTATGCGAGAGCGCCTCCTGTGGGGAAGTGTTCCTCCTGGCGTCTGCAGCTTTGGCCAACATCACCTTCTTCGACAGCATGGCCTGTGAGATCCTCCTGCAGCTCAACGCCATCCACATCCTGCTGGAGGCCTGCAGAGACCGCCAGCGAGTCGACACGCCCTACTCCAAAGACCAGGTGCACAGCACGCACACAGCGCTCTGTCATGACGGATGCAGGCAGATATCAACTAGGAATGTTTTTAAATTCAACTCCTGGTGCTGATATGTTGTAGAAAACTTGACTTAATCAAATGAAGCTAATTAATCATTTGAAGCTAATTTGTTTTTTCAGGTGGTGACAATCTTGGCCAACCTTTCCGTTTTAGAGCAGTGTGCCCCTGAAGTCATGCAGGACCGAGGTAATCATTTCTCAGCTCTCATGTTACATCTATCTTACACATATTTGGGCTAAACTGCTGTTGGATGAAAGACTAATACACCAGCATGACTATACGACTTGAATTGTTGTAATTCTTGTTTAATCCTCAAGATGGCGGCAACAGATACAATTGGTGAAGAAGACTGGTGCAGCTTAAATAAAACATTAACATCTTTTTTTGGAAATATTTTTAAACTGCAAAGCTTTGTCTTAAATGCAATTTATTATTCAATAATTGCACAATTTATATTTTCTGCTCTTAAGTGAAAGTCAATGTTCAACGTGCTTTTTATTTTATTTGATGAATTGTAAAATAAATTGATTCATATGTTTCCAGTGTGGATCATCAGTAAGGATTATTTACAATCTATGTCCCTCAGTCATTTCCAAATAAATCATATTTATAAGATGCAATCATGGAATGAATATCCAAAAGTATAAATACTTTTACAATGTGCAAAATGTACTGAGAAGGCAGTTTGTTTGCCGTCTTTATCCCAGCAAATGTCCTGAAGCTCTTCTGGAGACTTACGCGTTGAAGAAGTTCATTTTCATCCTCCCTGACACCGTTAATTCCTCCTCCTTCCTTGCTAATCCTTACTTGATATTTTGTCATTTTTAGGAATCGAGCGACTGCTGCTCCTGCTGGGAGAGAAGCCGACCTCCCCGAGTCCGTCGGAGGGCGCTGCCTGTGAGCGCGTTCAGCAGAAAGCTGCTGTGACCTTGGCTCGGCTGAGCAGAGACCCCGATGTGGCCCAAACAGCCATTCAGCTTAAAGGTAGTGGAGCGTTTCACTTTTCTCAACACTACCTATCTTTTAACAAGCGACGCTACACTTTAGCTGCAGTCCGTCGGACATGATGCCATGATTCGGCGACCTCTTGGAACTCAAGGGGATGTCAATGAAATATTTGACATCATAATTTCACAAACATGTCCGATGGAAAGCAGCCTTCTATAATGCTTTATGAAAACCCTGCATCAGATTGATGGAATATAACATAACACATGCGTACTCCATAACAGAAGCCAATGTATAGATGGTATCATTATCTTTAAATGAATATAAAGGACACTTGGAGGTGTGTAAAATTGTGATTACACATCTGCTGTGTTTTCACTCTGGTTTATGGTCCACATCAGTGTCTAACAATGACATGCTTGTAACTGTTTCTACCCTGTCGGCCGTCTTCAGCTGTTCCTTTTCTTATTGAACTGTGTCGCTCCCCTACTGAGAGAAATAACAGCGACTCAGTGCTGGTTGCTTGCCTGGTAAGTGTGTGTCCATGTGAGTGTGCGACTGTGTGTCCGTGTGTGCGTTGCATGCTTCCCCTCAGATAGTCTGGAAGATAAATATGCCATTAAAATATTCACCCCTGTGTACACTGAGAAAGTCTAATTATTAGAAAGAATATCTCCTCACACTTTAAAATATGACACTATTACCTAACACGTAATAATAATTATAATAAAATAAAATAAAATAATATCATAATTGCCTCTGATTGTGGTAAAAAAATACTACTTTTGAGCATTACAGACATTAGGGACACACAACTCTTTGAAATGCTTTTGGGATATGGTCAAAGTGAGCTTACGTGGAGGCTGAAAGATTATATTTCAAAAACTAATTCTAGGCTCACTAAAGCACAACAATTCTTCATTTTAGGTGATTAAAAACTAATGAAAACAAGAGTTAGGATTATTATATTATATTATATTCCCTTTGTGCCATAGATTCAAGACATTGGCTCTTTAAAAAGTACAAAGGGGCGTTTTTCCGCCGGCCTGCATGTTTAACATCAGTGCACCAAATGACTGTTGAATTTAATTACATCCACAGGGCAATATCTGAAAAATTTGAAATTATATTACGCCTTCAGTATCTGTAAGCCATGTTTAGCTGACCAGTACACACTGTTTTAATATGTACATATCATGAATAATATCCCTGCTCGCACTTCATCATTTTCTCATTCTGATAATAATTATTAAGACCCCATCTTACGGCCGGTGAGGGGATTTGAAGCCCGTAATGTTCAGGAGCTTAATTGGGCTGAGAAATGCCCCCCTCTCCCTTGTACCCACATTGCCTGTCTATTCAAATGAATGTGATTCTATTTCATCCTTTTAGCCACGGGTCAAGTAAAGCATTGGTAGTTCTTCAAAGGGCGTTCAGCTCGCACAGATCATTTGTAATCTTAACTGTTAATGTAACTCACACACCACATGCGTTTCATTAGCGGCCCCTCAACGCCGTGCACGACTTGCTCCGACCGAAAAAGAAAAACATTTATATTTAACGTATCTGTTTGCATCCACATACACCGGCGACATTTGTTCTCTGCTGATTGTGTGATTGCTCCTGCATATGACCACGTGTGTGTTTGCGTGCAGCACTACAGCATGATCTTTCCTGTGTTGATGCATGTATGTGTTTGTTTTTTGGGGGTGTTTTGTGCACATGCGTACTGATGTGTGTGTGTGTGTGTGTGTGTGTGTGTGTGTTTGTGTGTGTCTCCAGGCTGCCTTGAGGAGGCTGGCAGCGGGGTGTCCAGACAGCATCGAGGCGGCCGACCACCAGCAGCTCATCAAACCGCGGCTCGTCGACTCTTTCCTGCTGTGCTCCAACATGGAGGAGAGCTTCGTATGACGGCCCACTCAGCGAGCGCTGAGAGCGCAGAGCTGAACTCATGAACAGCATCATGCACATGTTCCGAGCACGACACGGCAAGTGCTCCTGAACCCTGCATTCGTTTCACGACTGGGGGTTTGGTTCGGCTCTTCCTGTGTGCTGGGAACTTATTTGTTGTCCAGAGGTCTTACTGGACATGAGGGCTAACTGTCAGTTTAGATGGATGCAAAGGACGTCTAAATGTATGTGTTGCCTCTAGTGCCTCTTAATGATCTTAGAAAATGCAGTGTATGTGTACAGTGGTATAAAGAAAAAGGTCATTTCTGTTTGGTATTCCACTAGCAATTTCATATTGGTAATTCTACAATTAATATGTAGTGGGTGGTACTTTATGGAAACTAAAGTATAACCTTTTTCTGGAACCAAACCCCTTTTTATGCCACCGCTATGCAATCTTTTGTGTGCAATGTCTGAAAATGTTCCGAGCATGTTGCCCATCTGAGAACAGAGAAAGATCCTTTTTAGGGGAAGCATTTGTGTTTGAGTACAAAGACGTGTGGGTGGGATTGTTTTATTGTTGTTTAAAGAAGCGTTACCTTTTTATGTTTTCAACTAACAGACACTTTATTTGGACCATTTGCAACTAAATTATTACAGTGTCCTATTTCATCTTTTCAGTTTCTTGTTTGAGTACCTTAGTTGACAGGCCACTAGTAGTATTTGAAATGTATGTGTGGCACCATGATATACTTGGTACAGTGTAATGTTTGATGAAATGCATTGTGCAGCATGTTTTTGTTCTCATGCCACGATGTTATATTTGCCACTGGATAATAAATCTATAAAAACTGCCTTGAATTTGAATATACGAATGCTTTAATTTAAGGAATACCATTGTTGTATGCCATGCATGGAATAAAGGCAATCATCAACTGTTGTGTGTCATTCTCAGCACATACTACATCTATGACTGCTGAAACTTCCCAGCACAAACACTTGAATAGCCCTTAAAATCATTAGGTGCTAAAAGCCGGATCTGAAGTTATTTTCCATCCTCTGTTCATGTGAATAAGAACACCGCGGGAGGCGAGCGTGAGCGTAACACTGTTGTTTCTAAGGGCCCAAAATGGGGAAAGACGTCGGAGGATTTAGCTGCTTTCACCAGAATTCTAGACTCCAGGTCAAACTTTTTTTCTCCTTAATTCTCAGATACAAATAACGAATGAATTTTACTGCGTAGCTTCGTGGATGTATTGGAGATACAAGACGTGCAAGAAAAATAACCAAACCAACTTCTCTTTATTGATTTTGCGCAGGACACTGCTGCTCCGGCGGTCCAGCACGCCGCATTCAAAGCGTCAACACACAGGACCACCTTGTTGTAGTGTGAGTCCACGCTGCTAAAGTTCCTCCTCGACCTCCAGCTCATCTCAGAGGAACGAAGCTCTCACATTCTGTCTGCTGTACAAAGATGAGAAAAACCTTTGAATGCGAGTCACAGAGAAAGAAGACTAGGAGACCAAGAAGAGGTGGACCCTGGTGGCCTTCCATGAACAGCCATAAGACATTTGCTAAGCCTCCAACTTTCCAAAAGTAGCGGGAGAGTGTAGAGTCTTCACATACAAAATATCATGCTTTCATTCATTTATTCACTCAATCACAATGGATTTGAAGAGGATTCAACTTCTTCAGACTTTTCATGCAACACATTCGGTTATTGGGACATGATGCAAAAAAGTGATTACAAAGAAATATGGCAGGGCTCATCCGTCCTTTTTTATATTGTCACTGCTTTGATAGAAACACGCTCAGGTTTTTTTTTTCCCTCCCTCTCGCTTCCCTCTCCTTGGAGAGACAATTGAGGGTCTTTCTTTTCACTGTAGCTTCTTTTTAACCTTAGGGCACTTATGCCGAGCCTGGACTTGTTACACTCCAATCCAGAGTGGAGACAATTGAGCTGCTTTGTGTGTTGTCCAGCATACACATGGGAACGTGTTCAGAGGCCTTTGTGATAGAATATGCTCCTGCCTCGCCTTGGTGGAACCCGATGAAATATGTATCGACACAGAGGAGAACTAAACAGACGGCCTAAAAACACAGGTTTCTTTGATATTGTTTTGGTTCGACCGTGACCGTTGATGCCGAGCTCTGGGTCTTTCAGATTTCTTTCTCAGTTTCTAAGCGCTTGAACTTTCATTTCACGATCTCCGCGGTCCCCTGTGTGCGTGTTGTTGCCATCTTTGTTGTTTTCAAAAGTTTCAAGGTGGTTGGATAGTAAGAAAAGTTTATCCAATCACCGTTTCAGCCAGGCTTCTCCTGAACAGGCATCTGCACGTCCGCACTGCCACATTAAACATAGAAAGTGCACGTTACAAAGAGAACTGATAACAATAACTGAGGTATGATGAAAGAGCAGAGCTGCCCTACAAACTCATTTTCATATCATCCTCACATGGTTGGAGCCATAATTCAGAGCCTCTGTGTAATAAAAGGATCCGAGCACTTGTAGTCTAATGCAGGGAGACCCTTCTCTGTGACTCCCGGGAGATTTTAATATTTTATGCGTCACATCTTTTGCTTTTGCCACTGAACAGTTTTTCATGGAGAGGCCCTGGAATGAGGGAAAATGCATCTTTGAAACTGCTTTCAGAGGTTTATACATTAGACTTAACTTTTTTTGCAAATCAAACCAATTAAGAACAAAACCATTTGGCCAAACTGGAAGTGGAATATGAATGAAAGGTCATACAAGTTGTCTCATATTTAAAAGTGCCACAAATAGCAGGGTGGCATCTTGTTTCCACAGGTTGTATACGGATGAACATCAGAGGACCCTGGACTACATACAGTAATCAACAGGGAGGATTAACAGCAAAATCTCCCCATAAGTAGGTGATATCTTGCTACGGTGTATTAAGACGTTTTCTTCATAGTTTTAAGTTAAAAGGTTGGTTGTATTTTTTACGCGATAAGTCAAGAACTCAATAGTCATGCAGGGGTCTAGTTTTGTGAGCCAATCCTTGACAAAAAGATGGGAAAATTCTATTGGAGTTTGGGTTATTGTGGAAAATACGCTCTGTGGCTAACACAAGTTTATTATACTTATACGTTCATTAAAACGACAAAAAACGGAAATCTTTCCAGTAAGATTTCCATACTCAGAGGTGGAATGACAATTTTCGGCTATAAAGAATCTCAACCAGTCAGTGTGGGATTGACAACGAGGCCGTTAAGGTCATTGTGATCATGTTTTGTCTATTTAACCACTTTTAGCACAAAGAGATTCCCAGGAGAGGTATTGACGGACACGATTTATATCATAGAACCAAACGGATGAAACGCGTAGGCTTGTATTAACGACAGACCTAACTTACGGTAAAAAACAACATGGACTCAGGAATCGTTCCGGCACCACTCTACGTGCTTGTTGGTTTGCAATAGTAGCTTGTTAACAACATAGTTTTCTTGCCAGGCAGTCGTACTTTATGTACAATATTTTACCACATAAAATATTAGGGTCCACATATTCGTGGCCTTTAAACAACTTAAATTTGACACGCGTAGCTGTTTTGTGAACAAATGATTTACTTTCATCATGTTGTCTTTAAAATTGACTTCATGTTCTGTCAGCTTTAGGCTGTGCAAATGTAAAATTAAAAGGTTTAAAGTTTTAGGATCCTGCTGCAGCTCATATTAACCTCACAGTTTAAAAGCTCATTACGACTTAAGTGCCAAGTAAATTGGACCGCCAATTAAGAAAGTAATATTCCTGTTTAGTAAAATCTCAAGTCCAGTGCCCAGCCAGCCTCCCATTAGAGCCCAGTGGGGATTTTAATTACTGAAATATAACCGCAACGTTGAGTATAAATTATTAAGAGCACTTTGTGTTCACAACTTTGGACCCACGTTAGTGAAAAGTAAAAGTCTGATGCCCAATAGGCTCACGGGTGGTGCAGCGATCAGATGGCTTCATCCTTTGCTTGGTGTTTTATAAAGTCTTAAACACTGTTCTAAATAAAGCATGACTTTATTCTACTGGATGTGAAAATAAATAATACATAATCAACACGCAATATGAAGAAATCACTACTGGCCAAAGAAAATGCTGTTACTGCGTATGGCAGCAGCTCAATATATATAATATCAATATATATAAATATAACACATGCAATGTGTTTTGGTAAGAAACATCAGCAGTAGAAGTAACGTTTGCCTGTGGTGTATTCTTTGCTTCCTAATTCCGAAACCAATAAGCAATACCATTATTTTATTTCATGACGAATAAATTAGTCTCAGAATTGGCCCTGAAGATTCGGGCTGATTTGAAACAGTAGATGGCGTTTTGAGCCGATTTTAAACATGAAATGCTGATTTATATACATTTTAAAAGAAATGTTAAGACCAGCATTGATATTTTTAATTAGATTACAGTCATATAATATGGTTTATAGCTTAAAAACATATTAAGAGTGCTGTGACCTTTTTGATGAAGAGCTTTTGTATATTTCCTGCCTTTACTTCTTCTTTATACGTACATTTTATCGTGTGGTATATTGTTGACAAAACCCTGTTTCCTGATGTAAATTTAAAAAAGGACTCAGTGAACAATATTTTGTGTGTTTTGGCATCTTCTTCGATGCATTTTGGATCAGGATGTATTAGGGTTCCTTAGATATGTGCACAATAAACTTCACTTTAGACTTTCAAGGTAAAACAAAACCTACTTTTTCTTTGTGCTCAACAGAAATTCCTTGTGGACCGGCATGAATTTGTCCGATTGTTGGTTGAGTGCACCTTACTTTGTGCATGCCGGGCAGGACAGCGGGGGGTCCCTCTGTGAGGGTCGGAAGTGACTCGAATAAATGCTGCGTGCCGAGGCTCAAACAGCTCCTTTTTGTGCCAAGACAAGCAGCCTTGATAAAATGCTCGGCGTATTCAGGACATTTATTTTTCTCGCCGCGGAGTCAAAGACAAATAATGGTCGAATATTAACGTTTTGAATATGAATTTCTTTCACTAAAATAACTCTCGGACGTGGTGCACGGTGGCTCATTGGATGGAGAGAAAGAAAAAAGAATGAATGAAATGTGATAATTAAAATAAAAAACTAAACTAAAAACTACCGTTTTGTTAGTGTCAAAGGGTGATTTTATTAAGTCTGTTTTTTGCATGTTGGTGTGTGTGTGTGAGTGAAACAGATGGAAATAAAGAGAGAGACGGGTGATCTTTAGGGATCGCGGCAATGTCAGCAGAAAAAACTGCCATGAAGATCACATATGAAGATACACGTTTGTTAAGCACCATCACTGACGAAATACAATATAATCCCTAATTCATAACCCTAATATTTTCTTATCAAAAGACCTTTACCGCTTCCCAGGCCTGTGCCTTTTTTTAATCCTTCAATGTGCCTGAAACACAGACAAATAAAGTATATGAAGGTAATGTAAAAAAAAAAGAAAGTATCAAAAGGCTTCATGAAATGATAAATACATCTCCAAGTTTTAACCCTCAAACATTGAAGGGCTTACGTTGAAGAAGTAAAGCCCGGCCAAAATGTCTGCACTTCTAAAGACATACTCTTAAATTGCTCCAAATACACAGCACATAAAGACTAATATGTGCATTCAACCACACACTCTCACACTCACACAACCTAAAACAGGCCTTTTAAGGTGCCTTAAGTGAGGACGGGTTAACACTTACAAAGGGTCCTCACAAAGATAGATGTACAAGTGAACACACACACACACACACACACACACACACACACTGTGTAGCTGCCTCAAATTAAACAATTGTTTTCCTGTTTCTCATGAGTTTTGTTCTGTTCAGTGCTGCTGTGGAAACAATTATCTGTCGTTCAGCAAATCCTCCATGCCCACAACACACACTTTCCCCCTGTGCACTCCACTGAGCCCCCCCCCTCCACCGCCA